CGTATCTACCACTCCTCCCAGTTTAGTATCATCCGCAAATTTGCTGAGAGTGCAATCCACACCATCCTCCAGATCATTTATGAAGATATTGTTCTATAGATAAGTTCTATACTCCTCGGGGGAATTCTGCGCCACTAGGCATGCACAGAGTTTATGTCCTCCCCAGATTTCTTTGCTTCCCCGCAGAAGAATGGCTGTCTGACGGGGAAGCAAAGAGAAGCCACAAGAGTGGTCATGTGAACCTTTTCAGCAGTATGTTTCAGGTGCCCAGGACAGCCAGCAGAGAGGTAAATCACTGTGGGGAAGGAGGCAGGGCTGGGGAAGATCCAGCTGGTGGCTCCTACCTTGCACCAGGCTCAGCTACTAGTCCTAGCTGGACTGGGGAGGACAGGACTTCCTCTTTCCTTGCATGGCATCTGCGGCCAGGTCAGACCCATCCCCAGTTTTCTCCCCCAGCTGGAAGAAGCTCTGCAAACTCCTCCCCCACCCCCACTTCTTACATCTATTGCTCCACCCATCCTCTCAACCCCCGTGCGTTCAGACCCCCTCATACCCAGACCCTTCCACCTCACCTCGCCTCCCTGCACTCAGAACCCCCCTTCCCTTGATGAGCCCCACTCCCTCGGCACCTGGACCATCCCGACGAGCCACCCACACCCAGATCCTCACTCCTATCCCCTGCCGAGCTCTAACGCCCCCCACAGCCAGACCCCCCCCCCGCTGAGCCCCAACCACCTTCACCTGGACTCCGCTGCAGAATCCCATTACTGTTGCACCCAGAACCCCCCAACAAGCCCCCGTGCATCCAGATCCCCCCACACCTAACCCTCTCAACCCACACGTGGATCCACCCACACTAAGCCCCTCCACACTCAGATCCTGCTGTGCTGAGCCTGCCTGTCCACACCTGGTGCACCTGGCACAGAGGGGCTGGGCCCTGGGGTGTTTCTGGGGCAGGCCTGTCCTTGCACTGTGTCAGGGTTGGGTGCAGCCTCACTGCTGAGTCCATGTCCTGGGAGGAGCTACACAGTGATCTCCTACCTCTGTGCAGCCAGTGGCCTGCCAACCTGGAGCTTCCACATTTATTTGACAGATAAAATTTGCAGAATTTTGCAGAATTTTAAAATATTGTGCACAGAATTTTTATTTTTTTGGTTCAGAATTTTTAATTTTTGGCACAGAATCCCCTCCTCCAGTCAAAGGATTATAGTGAAAGTTCTTCCTCAGTCAAGACTGTAGCATCCTATAGTGAAAGTGAGATGGAGTAGCGGCAGCTAAACCTTGGTCTTCACCGAATCAGAACTCTACCAATTGTGGTGTACTGGAACAGTCACATGTACACAGCTGTAAGGTAGCAGGAGGTGGAGTAGAAAAGGGCTGCCACTACCAGCATATAGAGTCATCATTACTGGGCTGGCTACTAGCCAGTCCTAGGACTATGATTGCCAGTAGCAGCTACTCTTAACAAAACATGTGTGCTGTTGGCTGGAGAAAGCATTGGACCTCCAGCCCTACCCCCGGTGATCTAGCACTGTCTGTTAGGGCTGGCATCTTTATCTTTCATGTGGTGGGGAGGCATTTAGTTAATCTGAAATGTACCCCAAAAGTGTTTTAATTCTTTCATTGTATTGGTGTACATAACACAATTGTTATAGCAATGACCATCAATATTCTTAATGAAGGCGTACGAAAGAAGCTTGAAATGTAGAGTGTGGATTTTAAGTGATTTTATTCCATTTTTCTTTCAAGACATTGAATTTTGGTACTGAATGCAATAATATCAAGAAGACTATGTAATAAATGCTAAGTTATTGAGCAGACATGGATTGTCCCCAGAAATTTATTGTAAATGAAAGAGCACTTACTGTTCTTTGGTATTCCTGGAATTGTTACTATAATTGGAAACGAGTTATGAGTTAAGTGTAGCAAAAGAGCAGTGTGTTGAAAAGCAATATGTCTGACTTATTATGAGATTTACAAGAAGCCAGGGTAGGCTTTTTATTTTCCTTTCACATTTTAAAGCTGCGGTATAATTTTTATGTTTGATTATATATGTGCTTGTCAGAATTTTTAATTTTATGGCTTCACAAACATATTAAAATAGAGTATGTTCTGGTTATGAAGGACTCTTATCATAAAGGGTGTCTTTATCATTAGGTAAGTTGCCATATTAAAATCCTTGCATTTAAATTCTATCTTTCTGTGCAGAAATAATTATTGGCTTCTTTGCATATCCTAGTAATCTTCTCCTTTATTTTCCCTTCTCAAAACCTTGTTATTAGTCAGGGATGTGTCTGGAAACTCTAATTAGGAATTAACAAGGTTTGTGAATGGAAAGTGCATGTGATTTACTTGCTAACGTCTGCTACATTGCCATTTTATATATTTATGTTTGGTAGTATTCAAAATTTGCTAGCCGCTTCCAAACACAAAGGGAAGATACACTAGATAGAATGTCCGACATGCTCAGGTGTGTGTCAGAACTAAGCTGTAAGGGATACCAAGCTACATTAAAGTCTGTGGATTGGTATAGGTATAGGTTTGAGCTCTAATACTGCTGCAGCAAAAAGAATGATCTTTTAGCTCAAGTGTGTGTTTAGAGGAAATGCCGGACACAAGTGGAAGGATCTGCTCATGGCCCGCACCATGGATAGTGGTGTGATATGGTGAACAGAAGTCTGTTACCTTGAGGATGGGAGTTATTTTGTAGGCCATCCCCAAAACGCTGATGTTGCCTTTGGAGATTGCCACAGGGAAGAATAGCCGGGGAAATACATGCGACCACACTGTTGCTTATATAATTCTTATAAATGAAACAAGTTCTCCTTCAATTCAGAGCAGCCCTACTGATTCAGGCCACATAAATCATTGGCTCAGTTCCTTGCTGAATGAAATTCCTCAGAAATAAATATAACCCCTGCATTTGATGTTCACTCACTTGAGTAATTTCCTGTATTTTGCACAGTCCACTTGAGGATTTGCCATTTTTATTTTTCTTGCCAGAAATTGCATCTACCTTAGGGTTCCAGTCCTACATGCCTTGTGCCAAGATTGACTGGACATCCCAGTTTACAGGGACAGTCCCAGGAGTTGTGGCTGGCAAAGTCTGAGGCCTTTAGGGTGGGATTCACAAGGGGAATTTAGGTGTCTAGATCCAGCATTTAGGCACCACTGGCATTCACAAAGCCCCTGCTCAGTTGCCACCTAACCCTGTAAGTCCATAAATTCACTAGGCATCTAAGTTTCTGCTGTTAAAGTCCCCAAGATGCCTAAATTTCAGCAACTGTACATTTATGCATCTGCCTAAGTCCTGTTACTGTCCAGGAGCTTGACATCTTAATCATGGGAGTGGCAGATTAGGTGGGGGAACACCTGTCTTCACTGCTGGGCCTGATCCAGTACATAGTCTCAGAACATGTATAATGTCCCCTTCCATCAAAGCTTGCACAAGTGAGGGGGAGCAGGAGGTGTGGTGTGGTGGTGCCCCCCCTTATACTCTAGTCTAGTGGTTAGAGAGTACTCACTCAAGAGGTGGGAGACCCAAGTTCAAATCCCTGGTCCCCAGCCAGCAGGGAGGAGGTTTGAATCTGGGTCTCCCACCTCCTGGGTAAGTTTTCTAACTACTGGGCTAAAGGTTATGGGGCAGGGGGGAACCTCTGCTTCCTTGGTGTTTCTTGAAAAAGTGTTGACCTGCTTTAAGTACCTAACTCCAGGAGATGGTTCATCATTGTGAATCTCGGGTGGAGCTAGGCATCTAAAAGTCCTTCTCCTCTGCATTTTCTATTGGCTATTTTAGGCAGCTCCCTGCTCAGCATGTTGGCTTTTGTGAATCCCCTTCTCAGGCACCTAACTCTCCCATGCATTGTACAGGGAGTCTGGATGCCTAACTCGGGGTTGTGAACTCTCCTAGGCAGCAAGGATGCCTACAGGTTAGGTGCTGCAGTGCTGAGCATAGCAGTGTCCCTCTTGTGAATCCCGCCTTTAGTCACCGGTCCCACTGGGGTTGCTGTGATTCAGGTTTCCCTTCTCTCTCAGTACACGTTAGTCACCTCTCTGCTGTTTTAAGTGCTGCACAGCTGAATTGTGTTCTGAAGAACAGCTCCATGATCTATAGACCTCTTCACAATGAGGGAGAGGATCACAGATTCCAACTGGAAGAAAGGGTGATAGGAGTCCAGTGAGAACTGGGGAAGGATTTTTTTCTTGAAGAGAATAACTTGGTAAGAAGGAAAAGGAAAGGAGAACTGGGGGAGGAAAACTGTAGGGACTGGAGATGGGGAAAACTGGGGAAGAGGGTAAGAACTGAAAGTGTAAGGGGGAGAGAAAAAAGGCAGATTTTGAGGAATGGGAGAAAAATGGGTGGGGAAACCTTTGCAATTTTTTTCATGTCAGTACCAGGTTGAAAAAAGAAGAGAGAAGGGTTATGATTGGAGGGAAAGGTTAAAAAAAAGCAAGAAGAAGTGAAATCAGAACACCCTAAAGAAGGAAAAGTGATAATAGAGACAGAAGAAGAGAGATAAGGATAAAGTTGAAATCTGTTGTGGAGAGATCAAAAAGAGAAGAGACTGGCTTAAAAAATACACTAAGGAGGGTGGAGCATAAGAGAAAATCCTGCTTGAATATTAGACTCTTCAGAGAAAGGAAGAATGGACAGCATCAAGAACATTTTGGGTGCTACCAAAATACAAATAATAAATAAGAGATGAGGCAGTGTCCCCTGGTTTTTGGTTTTGTAAATGGTTAGTCAGTGCAACCAGAGCTCCCATGGGCTCGAATGGGAGCGCCAGGTCCACAAAATGTCTTGGATATGCTCCTAGCTGTTTTTTAGTAGTTACGTTTGAGATGGGACTTTCATTCTAAAGGCCTGATGCAAAGCACATTGAAGTCAGTGGAAAGATTCCCACTTAATGCAGTTGATTGAATGTCCATATATTATGTGGCTTATAAAACTTCTCAAAACAGCTCCCTTTTGAGTTGACATTTCTTCTCCTTGTTCCCAGACAGGGTTGAATTGCTTCTGGAAAGTTTGAAGAAAATCCATTCTACTGTTTTGGAAGACCAGACATTCAGATAAATGCAGGTGTGTTTTTTTTATGAAATACTTATGGAGGCTATATTTTTTTGGCTTTCATTTGTAATGGAATTAGACTTCATTTAGAACTCCCCCCACAATAAAACCTGGGTTCTTTGTCAGTTATAAGAACATAAGAATGGCCATACTGGGTCAGACCAAAGGTCCATCCAGCCCAGTATCCTGTTTACCGACAGTGGCCAATGCCAGGTGCCCCAGACGGAGTATGTTAGGTATGTTAGCAACAAGAAAAAAGTCAAGGAAAGTGTGGGCCCCTTACTGAATGACGGAGGCAACCTAGTGACAGAGGATGTGGAAAAAGCTAATGTACTCAGTGCTTTTTTTGCCTCTGTCTTCATGAACAAGGTCAGCTACCAGACTACTGCACTGGGCAGCACAGCATGGGGAGGAGGTGACCAGCCCTCTGTAGAGAAAGAAGTGGTTCGGGACTATTTAGAAAAGCTGGACGAGCACAAGTCCATGGGGCCGGATGCGCTGCATCCGAGAGTGCTAAAGGAGCTGGCAGATGTGATTGCAGAGCCGTTGGCCATTACCTTTGAAAACTCATGGCGATCCGGGGAAGTCCCGGATGACTGGAAAAAGGCTAATGTAGTTCCCATCTTTAAAAAAGGGAAGAAGGAGGATCCAGGGAACTCAGCCAGTCAGCCTCACCTCAGTCCCTGGAAAAATCATGGAGCAGGTCCTCAAGGAATCAATTCTGAAGCACTTAGAGGAGAGGAAAGTGATCAGGAACAGTCAGCATGGATTCACCAAGGGCAAGTCATGCCTGATTAATCTAATTGCCTTCTATGACGAGATAACTGGCTCTGTGAATGAGGGGAAAGCAGTGGACATGTTGTACCTTGACTTTAGCAAAGCTTTTGACACGGTCTCCCACAGTATTCTTGCCAGCAAGTTAAAGAAGTATGGGCTGGATGAATGGACTATAAGGTGGATAGAAAGCTGGCCAGATTGTCAGGCTCAACTGGTAGTGATCAATGGCTCCATGTCTAGTTGGTAGCCGGTATCAAGTGGAGTGCCCCAAGGGTTGGTCCTGGGTCCGATTTTGTTCAATATCTTCATAAATGATCTGGAGGATGGTGTGGATTGCACTCTCAGCAAGTTTGCAGATGACATTAAACTGGGAGGAGAGGTAGATACGCTGGAGGGTAGGGATAGGATACAGAGGGACCTAGACAAATTAGAGGATTGGGCCAAAAGAAATCTGATGAGGTTCAACAAGGACAAGTGCAGAGTCCTGCACTTAGGACGGAAGAACCCCATGCACCGTTACAGACTATTGACCGAATGGCTCGGCAGCAGTTCTGCAGAAAAGGACCTAAGGGTTACAGTGGATGAGAAGCTGGATATGAGTCAACAGTGTGCCCTTGTTGCCAAGAAGGCCAATGGCATTTTGGGATGTATACGTAGGGGCATTGCCAGCAGATCAAGGGACGTGATCGTTGCCCTCTATTCGATATTGATGAGGCCTCATCTGGAGTACTGTGTCCAGTTTTGGGCCCCACACTACAAGAAGGATGTGGAAAAATTGGAAAGCATCCAGCAGAGGGCAACAAAAATGATTAGGGGACTGGAACACATGACTTATGAGGAGAGGCTGAGGGAACTGGGATTGTTTAGTCTGAAGAAGAGAAGAATGAGGGGGGATTTGTTAGCTGCTTTCAAGTACCTGAAAGGGGGTTCCAAAGTGGATGGATCTAGACTGTTCTCAGTTGTAGCTGATGACAGAACAAGGAGTAATGGTCTCAAGTTGCAGTGGGGGAGGTTTAGGTTGGATATTAGGAAAAAATTTTTCACTAGGAGGGTGGTGAAACACTGGAATGCGTTACCTAGGGAGGTGGTGGAATCTCCTTCCTTAGATATTTTTAAGGACAGGCTTGACTGAGCCCTGGCTGGGATGATTTAGTTGGGGATTGGTCCTGCTTTGAGCAGGGGGTTGGACTAGATGACCTCCTGAGGTACCTTCCAATCCTGATATTCTAACCTAACAGGTAATGATCAGTGATCTCTCTCCTGCCGTCCCTCTCCACCCTCTGACAAACAGAGGCTAGGGACACTATTCCTTACCCATCCTGGCTGATAGCCATTAATGGACTTTTAACCTCCATGAATTTATCCAGTTCTCTTTTAAACCCTGTTGTCATCCTAGCCTTCACAACCTCCTGAGGCAAGGAGTTCCACAGGTTGACTGTGTGAAGAACTTCCTTTTATTTGTTTTAAACCTGCTGCCCATTAATTTCATTTGGTGGCCCCTAGTTCTTATATTATGGGAACAAGTAAATAACTTTTCCTTACTCACTTTCTCCGCACCACACATGATTTTATAACCCTCTATCATATCCCCCCTTAGTCTCCTCTTTTCCAAGCTGAAAAGTCCTAGCCTCTTTAATCTCTCCTCATATGGGACCCATTCCAAACCCTTAATCATTTTACTTGCCCTTTTCTGAACCTTTTCTAATGCCAGTATATCTTTTTTGAGATGAGGGGACCACATCTGTATGCAATATTCAAGATGTGGGCGTACCATGGATTTATAGAAGGGCAATAAAATATTCTCTGTCTTATTCTCTATCCCTTTTTTAATGATTCCTAACATCCCGTTTGCTTTTTTGAGTGCCGCTGCACACTGCGTGGACGTCTTCAGAGAACTATCCACGATGACTCCAAGATCTTTCTCCTGATTTGTTGTAGCTAAATTAGCCCTCATCATATTGTATGTATAGTTGGGGTTATTTTTTCCAATGTGCATTACTTCACATTTATCCACATTAAATTTCATTTGCCATTTTGTTGCCCAATCACTTAGCTTTGTGAGATCTTTTTGAAGTTCTTCACAGTCTGCTTTGATCTTAACTATCTTGAGCAGTTTAGTATCATCTGCAAACTTTTCCACCTCACTGTTTACCCCTTCTCCCGATCATTTTTGAATAGGATTGGTCCTAGGACTGACCCTTGGGGAACACCACTAGCTACCCCTCTCCATTCTGAAAATTTACCATTTATTCCTACCCTTTGTTCCCTGTCTTTTAACCAGTTCTCCATCCATGAAAGGATCTTCCCTCTTATCCCATGACAACTTAATTTACATAAGAGCCTTTGGTGAGGGACCTTGTCAAAGGCTTTCTGGAAATCTAAGTACACTATGTCCACTGGATCCCCCTTGTCCACATGTTTATTGACCCCCTCAAAGAACTCTAATAGATTAGTAAGACATGATCTCCCTTTACAGAAACCATGTTGACTTTTTCCCAACAATTTATGTTCTTCTATGTGTCTGACAATTTTATTCTTTACTATTTTTTCAACTAATTTGCCTGGTACTGATGTTAGCCTTACCGGCCTGTAATTGCCGGGATCACCTTTAGAGCCCTTTTCAAATATTGGCGTTACATTAGCTATCTTCCAGTCATTGGGTACAGAAGCTGATTTAAAGGACAGGTTACAAACCATAGTTAATAGTTCCGCAATTCCACATTTGAGTTCTTTCAGAACTCTTGGGTGAATGCTATCTGGTCCCGGTGACTTGTTACTGTTATGTTTCTCAATTAATTCCCAAACCTCCTCTAGTCTAATTCTACTATTGTGGTTTCCTTCCAAACAGTGTTCGTAATGCAAGGTGCTATTTCTGATTTTGTCATATGCATATGTAGCACATTCCAATTTTAAGGACATTGCATTAAAACTGTTTAGTGCTAATGTTACATTTTGAGGGGCGGAAAAAGCAAGTGTTTATTTTAGTATGGCACATCGAGTCTAAGAAAAGTGTGTTACAAACATTTAGTTGCTCTAGCTGCTTTTAACATATTCAGCTGAAAAAGCAAGGTAGATGCCTTAAAGAAATTGACTAAAAATTAATCTATATTATTTTTTAGCTGGTAGGTTGTGATCCCAGGTTGGTTTTACTAAAAGTAATTGGGAATGGGGGTATTGCAAGACATTGGGAATTTTATTACAATTCTAAAGCAAAGAAAATAAAATTTCCAGAATAACTTTGTGGTGGCCAAAACTTCAATGTAGGTGGACATGTGGGGCAGGAGCATTGTTGCCATTGATACATTACTTTACTATTATTTATATTTTAATAAGGGATCACCAAACTGAAAAGGTTGAGAAAGCATAATTATATTCAGAAGCCTACTTAAGTGAAGGGTTACTGAAATAATTTTCACTTGTTGGGCCTGAACAAAAACTTCAATCTTAGCACCCCAGCCTGAGACCTGAATGTGGCTTCAGCTCTGAGTGAAATAGAAAACTTGTCATCACGTTTTTTCTGTGAATTTGTTTCCTCTCTGAATGCAGTATCTAAACGTAAAAGAAGATTGCAAAGCCATGGCTTTCTGCGCAAAACTGAGAAACTCAAAAAAGAGCGAAGTGACCACAGAAGCTCAAGAGCAAGGATTGGAAATTTTATTCTATTTGCAAGAGAAGCCTCCCATTCGGTACACCGGTGGCGAATATACAGCAGAAAACCTGTGCATTGAAGCTGCCCAGAAGTGCTGTGAGTATTGCAGTATTCAGCTATGTTCTGAATTACTAAGACAAAATGTATCATAAATAAATTCATCCCTCTCTGGTCATGCAAAAATACTCATGGGGTAGGGTCAGGGCTAGAAAACTTTAAGGGTCCTCTTGTGGAATTCTTTTTTGATTATTTCATGGGGAGAAGGGAGAATGAGACTTTCCTCTGCAGAAGAGCTCTTGGTTCTCTACCTAGAATCCAAGGATCCTAGAGGAATGGCAAAAAGCCATGACCCTCCACTCCAGTACTGACACTTCATTTATCATTGACTTTAACCTGAACAGGATTAGGCTGTCTTTCAAGAGGTATCCTATTACACAGTTAAACAAGGCTATTTTCAGTGTAACATACCAGTTGGAAAACCTGTTGAGAAACACTTTCTGTAGTACCAAAGCACATAGATTCAGAAGATGGCAGTTGGGCTAACTGACAAAATAACCATTCCCTACTCTCCCTGATACTTATCTCATCGTGTTACTTGTTTTTCCCAGTCTCATCATGTGTATGGTCATTAGAGTGTACAATACTAGTGTACTGTAAAGTGAGATTAGAATTAAGCACAATTCAAGTTATATAGACATTTGCAACAAAAAGTGTATCAGTGTCTTCCACTATGGTCTCAGCTCATCAAAATACTGAAACAGATGAGCAAGCCGTTGAAGTCAAAGAAATTTAAGCCCATGTTAAAGTGCTTATATGAAATGCGACCTATGTAACTAGGGCCCGATTATCTTTTTGCTTACACCAGTTTTACACTCCACTGCCTTCAGCTGAGTTATTTCTGACATACTTTGATATGAGGGGAGATTCAGGCCCTTTAATCAGGCTCTTATTTATGACTAAGTCTGTACACAACTTCCCTGAAGCTTCAAAATAAAAAAAGGTTAGGTTCCACCCCCCCATTTTTGGGGTTGAGACATCTAGTGCCCTCCTCCTCTGTTTCACTCAGTTACTCTACCCTTTCTTAAGGATGCGGGTAAGGGAAATCTCAGGGTCAAACTTCATCAAATATATATTCAAGTTGGCTGCTAATGAAAATCATTTATGATAAATTACTGCAGATACTTAAATCCATTTATTATTTATGTTAATAGGTTAAAAGCTGTCAAATGCCTCTCTGTGTATTTATTCTAACACGCACACTGTCCACTGCCAGTAACTTCTGATGTCTAATTTCTAACCGCATCTAGTTAGAGTTGCAAAATCGTCAAAGTGTGTTTGAGGGAGTAAGGTTTTCCTTAGGGAACCTCCTTCCACCTTCTTTTATGCTAGCTAGGTCCATAGGAGATACCTGATTTATAGGTCAAAAAGTCCTATTTGTTTTAATTCCTTTCAGTAAGGCTCTGAAGCTAGTCTCTGTTGTAAATGAGTGGTATGGTGATATATCATCAATATGCCTTCAGTGCTGCTGGATTACATGAGAGAGCAGCGAGTATCCTGCCCCACAGTATATAATTGTACAGTTGGCGTAGTCAGCATTTATTTTCCTCAATATTTTTGGAATTAAGAAAGCATTTATTTGAGAATGGATTCAGTACAAACTGAACGAGAAGCTCAGGATTTGGCCCTGATTCAGGAAACACTTAAGCACAAGCTTTGGTGCTGTCCTAAGTAGAGATGCCTTCCTGGTGTACAGGGCCCCTGTGATGTATATGCTGCCAGATAGTGCTCTCTTCTTTTATTGACAAGGAAACCCAAAACAGAGAAATTAGATGGCTTCATCCCTATGAAGACACTGTAACCTGTTTTTGTTGTATTTTGTTTCATTAAAAACAAACAACATAGAAACGGCAAGTCAACTGTAATGTTTTGTTGGAAAACCCTGTGGTGGATTAGTAAACTCAGATGGGACAGTGACATCACTTGCTTTCCTGCCCTTCAACTGAAGGAAAGGGCATGTTTTGGTTTTAGCAAAACAAACCTAAGAACCAAATCACAGAATTTTGAACAGTTTTAGTAGTACACCCCCTCTCCTGCGAGCTGTCGAAAGTGCAGTTCAGATTTCAGTTTGTGAATTCATTAATTTATTTTTTCTTTTTAATAGCTGTATCTCCATTGTGCCACAATCTCTTTGCTCTATTTGAGGAGAGTAAAAAACTCTGGTATGCACCAAACCATGTCTTCAAAATAGATGACAAGACAGCACTCCGGCTCCATTATCGCATGAGGTATGTTGGGACAAATGAACGATGGATTATTTCAAGATTCCAGTGTGCATTTTTTTCTAAGAATTGTGTGGCTAGTGTAACACTTAGAGCTGAACTCAGTTTAAAACAAAAAACCCTTCACAGCAAAGTTGAGAGATTAACAACAGGAAAGGCTGAAAAGGTCTCCAGAATGTGTGCATTTGCTAGATAACTTTAAAACAACCCCAAACCACAAAGCTGTAAGTGACTGGACTAACTGAAAATTCACCGTGCAAATGGCTGAGAACCATGGTCATATCGCAATATTCTGTATTTCTGTAGCACTTTCCATCTGAGGTGTTCCAAGTGCAACTATTAATGAATTTTGCTTCACAAAATATCCCTGTGAGGTAGGAAAATACTGTTGTTATTCCTGTTGTATACACTGAGAAACTGAGGCACTGAAAAGTTAAGGGCCAAATTCTGTGTCTCCCCCTACACAGGGTAGGGGTTTCAAAATTGTTCAGCATTGGCTTAGCTTGGCTCCCATTGGATTCCCATCAACTTAAATGGGAGCAAAGTCATGCCAGTGCTTTTGAACACCCACTCTTAGCTCCCAGGGGAACTGGTGCAATTCCATGGTGGGATGGGAGAGAGCACAAGGAAAATACACAACTCTGTGCAAGGGATCTGCACATCATCAGGTTGTACTTTATTGGCAATTCCTGAGCCACAGCACATGGGGGCTGGTGGACGTGTGACTCCATGGATACCCCAACCATTCCTCTTAGAGGAGAGTGCATGCAGCTGTAGGAGCTACTGGGGAGCAGTTTCACCATCACTTTGCAGCCTAGGGAAGGATTTCTTCCCCTTTGGATTTGGTAGAAATTCTAGTACAGATCCCATTCATTTTTCTTCCCTGTTGTTTTCATGTTAATTGTTTCCCCCCTTGTACCAATACAGTTACTATTCAACATCCTGTACACTGAAAGTGAGGCCCTTCAATTTCAGTTTTTACCTGCTTTTGCAGAAAAGTTCCTAGGTGTTACGAAAGTCATTATTTTGTTTTTACATATAATTTGAATTTTGTAAGTGCTGGAACTCCTCAGACCTGGCTCCTCCCTCCAGAAGAAGAGAGGGCAGCTTGGAAACCAGGGTACTGAGCCTCCGTGTCTCCTTCCAGTGCGGGGAGCTGGGTCAGAAGTACTGGAATGACGCAAGCGCTGGTGTACATGTTGTTGGCAATCTCATACCTACTACATACACATTACCGGCTTTACATGATAGCACAATAGTTATTATCATTCAAAGCAAATTAAAGTTAGTTAATGCCTTTTCCTGTTAAAATGAGTTGAAAAAAACAAAACAAAACTGTATCCAACAGAACATAAGGGTTTTTTGGAAAGTTGCATAAAAAAAACCCAGGAAACAAGAGTGATATTTCCCCAGAAAACTGCGCAGTTAATTTTTGTACTGAGTGTTATCTGTTTTTAAATATTTGTAATAAACCCTGATAAATTCCTGGGAAATCTTAAAATAAAAACTGAAAATGAAGAACCTTCATTACAATCTAGAGAACAAGTTTTATCTTGAGGAATAAATTTTTCCAGACTGTTTGGTCATTCTGGCATTTTCCAAGGGCAAGAGCACAACTAGTTGGGTCCCTGTTAGCTCCACTAGGCACATCTCTTAAGAACATACATTTATATACCAACATTTCCTGTTTAACTTGTCATTTTACTAAAATCAAAACCACAATCTTTTGGATTCATCTTGAGACTGGGGAAAAAATTGGCTGTAATTTGTTTGTGTGCAATGTTGCATATTTAAGTACTTATCTGAATATTTGCACCTATGCTTCATGAATTGTCACATGCACATAGTGGTGATAGAACTTACATGTGCAAACCTCCATTGTTCCAAGAAAAATCTACACACACAGGCCACTTCACCTGCATGGAGAAAAGTGCACACACTGGTAATGTAAATGCAGGCCAGGATAAGGCCCCTTTGACAGTATGACTCTTCGAAGTTTAAGTGGGGTAGCTGTGTTAGTCTGTATCAGTAAAAACAACCAGGTGTCCTTGTGGCACCTTAGAGACTAACGTGCTGTATATTTATATCTGCTTACTGTATTTTCCACTCCATGCATCTGATGAAGAAGTGGGTTCTAGCCCACAAACGCTTATTCCCAAATAAATTTGTTAGTCTCTACGGTGCCACAAGGACTCCTTGGTTTTTTTTGAAGTTTAAGGAATTCTAATCCTGAATAAATCTGTACCATGTCACAGTTGCTTTTCTGATTGGAGAAGTTTGAGGGAAAGGGAATGTATGTTATTCAGGAAAATGATTGTAATGAACAAATAGGTCTTGGTTTTTCAGAGAATAACTTTAGTGATATGTATGTATGTTAGAAAAACACAAGATTACTATAATCTGGTCTGTTCTGTTGACAGGCCTTTTCTATAAGCAGTGCTAATATCTTAATGTAAACTAATCTGAGGTTTAAACTGTTGTTATTAAATGCAGTAGATTAACACCAGGTGATAATGGAATTGAGTGACTTGAATTGCTGCGAGAAGCTCTTGGGAATCTAATTGTCTCACAGAATATTAGTTGCTCTTATTTGCTTCAAGAGGTCAATCAGGTCAACCACATACCAGAAAAACCTTGTTGTTTTCTCGGTACAATAGGAACTCAGAGCAATTTCCCCTGATAGTGTTCTGTAATATTTCTGATGTGTAGTTTCTTCTTTTTAAAGGAAGAGCTTAATTTTATATTTATTTGTATCATATTCTATATAACATAAGAAAATTGCAATTCTAGGAATTTTAACCACTGACTCAAAGCATAATATTGTTTTTAACTAACCACATTGCATGACTATATTACTAATTCATAAAAAATAATTCCCCATATAATCAGATTATATTTGTATGTTTCTGCTTTGGTGAGTCAATGGTGACAATTCCCAGAATTACTTCTTATTTCTGTTATATATTATTAAAGTTGCCTGGTAGTTCCCATTGTAAGACCTTGTTTTCAGTTGCTTGTAACTTTGCCAGACTTTAACCATTTTTGCTGAAATTTTCCATGCAAGGTGTCTACCTCAGGCTGATTTTTAATTTCAGCCAAAATTGTTCAGCCATTTCTGAGAACAAAACTAGACGAAAATATATTTTGACCATGTTAAAAAATTCTGGCAACATTTTCCCAGTGAAACTCTACCCAAATTATAAGTCTTTGAAAAAAAATTGCAGTTTGCATATGCTCAGCAGAGACTTCATCCACACTAGGCATGCTTTAGCCCAGGGCTGAGCAGGATTTTCCCTAAAAGTTGCAGCTCTGAGCTGCTGTAGGCCATGTTGGGTCCAAGCCTGGGCACTGGAACTAAGAACATGGAGACTGTGTTCTGTGCTATCAGTGACCTCCCTGCTGGGTGCAGGTAGAATGGAGGGGGAAGCTGCATGAACTTGAATGCAGAGGGGTAAGAGCTGGACTGGATAGGAGTAGATTGGGACAAAGAGCCTGGGAACTATGAGAGGAAACTGCAACTGTCTGGGCAAAGAGATTGTGTATGAACAAGTAGGAGAGGGGGAAGGAGGTGAGGGGAAACAAATCTGATGAGGAGTTGGGGTATGGAGATAGGCAAAGAGACTCGGACTAGGAGCCGGGGGAATGCTGAGGTTGGACAAGGAGTCTGGTGAGAGGTTTGGGACTGAGAGCCAGTGGAGACTGGGAACGTGGCCTGGGGAGAGGGTTGATTTAGAGGCTCGAGTGGGGGAAGAGAGATCAGATGAGGAGTCAGGTGTAGGGAGTGACTGGGACTTGGATAAGAAGCCTGAGGAGAGGCACCTGGGACTGGCAAAGTGAGGAGAATAGGACTGGGACAAGGAGCCAGTGGTGGTGGTGAAGAGACAGGACTGGACTAGCACTGGTTGGAAGGGATGGGGCAGAATGGGTCAAATTTGTTGGGATTGGACAGAAGAGCCTGTGCCCACTAGAACACCCTCCCCTTTAGAACTTGGAATGGAACCCAGAATTCCTGAGTCAGCTGTCAGCAAATATCTATGAAACTCAATGGCAAAGTGTGTATGTTGTCCCATCTAGGGCTGGGCCATATAGAGGATGACAACTCACTGCTGCTATCAGTTACTCCGTTAGCTTAAATGGCAGAGGGCTCTCTATAGGTTCTGACCCTGCTGATGACCCATATGGGGGGGCAGTATGATGCCATGTTATGGAATTTCTGTTTTTAATTTGCTTTTTAAAAAGCTTAGAAAAGTCATATGCAAATGCATTTAAAAGGACAGGTTGCAAAGTCAGTCCTTTGAAGAAACTAGTGTGTGATATCATTAATGACTGTATCATAACGGAATCACACAAGGAGTCTGAATTAAGGTTGGTATCTTTTAATTCTGGCATTTCCTGATTTCTGAGTGCTTAACTTTGCGACTTTGATTTTTTTTAAATATCATTTTTGTGTGTATAATATATATAAAAATATGATGAAAGTACATGGCTCAGTCATTCCAAATGCTTTAGGTGTTTAGGTTTCTGTGCCACTGTTGAAAGGTGCTAATTTGGGCTTTTGGTGGGTGTGATTTTTTTTCCCATATATAATCTGTCAATCTTCAGAGCACGTACATACATACCAGCTGCTTACACTTTAGCCCTATCTCATTTATACCTGGTTATATTTTAATAGGACTTTTTTACTACAGACTTTTTGAAGAACCCCTTTCCTAAGTCTACAACATAAGAAGCCACAATATTTTGTAGCATCCTGTTTAAATGGCACACAAGCTGATACAGAAAGAGTTGAATTATTCCAGTAATTAAATAGAACCTGCTGTTTTTTAAAATCATACTTTTTATTGTTTTTTTTTTCCATGAAAAGAAAGGTACAATATGTTTAAAAAATAAGCCTGTTTCTTTTTCTAAGAACAGAGCTGGTTGGAGCTTTTTGTATGAGAGGCAGGTTAGTCTTGTTGTTAAGGCACTTAATTGGGACTCGACTTCTGGGTCCAGTTTGCAGTTCTGCCACAGGTTTCCTGCGTGACCCTGGGCAAATCACTCAATATCTCTCTCTGCCTTAGTTTCTATCTGTAAAAAGGGGATAATAATCTTTGCTTTCTCTTACCCTTTGTCTGCCTTGTCTGTTTAGATTGCACACTCTGCAGGGCTGGAACTCTCTCTTAGTCTCTCTCTGTAGTGCCTATCATAATGGGGCCTGATCTTGGTTAGAACTTTTAGACACTGCTGAAATACAAAAGTCATTTTATATGTAAAGGGCCAAATTCTGACCTCCGTTAGAATACCAATACAGCCCTCCTCATCCACAGTTATTTTCAGGAATCACCAGAAAAATAATGGGGTTATTAACAATGATTAACAGTGTTTTTTTAATAAAAGTATAGAAAAAGTAATTGCCTGATATTAAGGGATAAGAAAACTCTCTCATGGGCCTTGTGTTTGGAATGTAAACGTTCCAAACTGAGTTTTTTATATTCTTCATTATAGAAGTTCCTACTATGGCTGTGTGTGCACGCATTACCATTTCCCTCACACCATACCAGGCTTTTTTCAGGAGTTCATTAGATGGTCCAGGGGGAAGAAGAGTCGAAAACACAATATAGAATGTCTCAGCTCTGTATCAAGTTGTCCTTAAATTTGACCAATACTTTATTTGCTTCCTTTTTAGTTATTGGAGTATGATGCAGATAATTAAAACCATCTTTAATAGAAACACCCACTGAAATGTCAAAGGTCATTAATTTCATTAATCACTAAGGGCCTGATCCTGCTTTGAGCTTCACACACACAGACATCTGAGCAGAGCTCATTGCAGAATTGGGACCTAATTTCCCCCAATGCCCACTTGATTTGTGATGCCTATGAGAAATGATTCACAGAAGATTATTTTTAATGTATGTGATGAAAAGTAAGTTGTTTTGCTCCACCCTGCTGCTAACAAGCCTTTGCTGAGTAATTGTGTAAACTTATTGCTGCCCTTCCTTCCCTTTTCTCATTTTTGTTGTTGGCTCCTTTGTTGTGTTATGTCTGAAATTAGACTAATTGGGCCACATTCTGTTTTTTTTGCACTCAAAGGCACTTTGCACATTTTGAACATTGTAAATTAATAATCCATAATAGGGTACAGTAATTCCCTTTTGAGTATTTTTGTGAAAAGTTTTTAGTTTTGTTCAACTGCCTGATTTACTGAGAATGTCACTGGCTTTTTCCACCAAACGAAACCCTTAACTTTATTTTAATGTAGCTTTATGCATGTAACCTTCTCTTCGGTACGTGCAGTAGCTATTGTAGTTTTCCATGTTCACTTGACCTTTAAGTACATTAAGATATCTAATCTTACCTCATTTCAACCACAAAATAGCGTTCTAAGGTTACTTGTCATGCAGGTTTAGACAGACAAATGCTGTTTAAAATTCTAAAGGTTGTCAAGGGTTTGCAGAAGTCCGTGTAACAAACAAGATGGCATTCAGCGTAAGTACTGACTTTCACCCCATTAGAAATTGTCGTTTCAGATCTCTATTAATGGGAGTCATTAGTAAACAGTGTTGAAGTAACAGTTGAATAAGGACTGGATCTGTACATGTTCAATATTTAACATTCTTACAGAGCACTCTGAAAACTTTGCACTTGGTTAAATTTGTTATATTCTTTTAAGTGGTAAGTATTTAATGAGCAAAGTAAGAATTATGGCAAAGGATGTGTTGATCCAGACCTGGTTTAACTAAGTTTTACTTAACTGAAAAAGTAAATATGGATTTTTAAAATGATTTCACCTTGCATCATTTAAACTGAGATGGTTTTAAAGGAGCTTAAGGTTGGGATAGGGTATGGAGGGAAGCATTAAGGCACCCAACTCTCGTTCAGTTTCAGTGGGATTTGAATATCTCACTCTCTTTGGCTTCTTTGAAAATCCCAGCCTGAAGGTAACATTAGTAACATTCCAGCAGGCTAAGAAGTTTGTTTCAGATATGTTTTGAAAATTGATTGCATCACTTTAAAACTGGATTATTCAGATTAGTCTCACCCCTTCAATTCTGGCCTGATTTTTAGCCATATTTGGCCATATTTTCATGAATGCCAAGAGTTGGAGCTTTAATGGTTGGAACCACCAAAAATGAGAAATTCCAAGATATCTTGTGATATACAACAATGGTCCTAGTTCAAGCAAATCTTCAGATAGTGGCAGCTAAAATAATTTTAAAATTGGTGTGTGTTTATATGGTGGGCTGCACAGGGAAGAGAGAGAATGGTGACTCAGGCTATTGTGATTTTAATGGCCAGTATTACCTACCAAAGCATAACATGAATGCTATATGCTGTTTGAACGTTGAAACTATCAGAGTTTAATAATATCACTTTTCAACTGGTCCCTTAGCCTGGAATGCTGTTTTGGCACAGGTCCAGGATTTTGGGCCAATGTAATATTTTACTTGAGAGTAGAAAGATGAAAGATGTTGACTTATTGCTAGACTTTTATTTTAAACAGTTTAAAAATAGGTATCCAAAATACACTGAGGCTCCCCTCAGTTTTTAAAGTTCATCACTCTTTTTCTCAAGGTATTATTTTATGAACTGGCATGGGACAAGTGAAAATGAGCCCTCAGTCTGGAGGCATTCTCCGAAAAAACCAAAGAATTTCTATGAGAAGAAATTACTGCCAGATGGAACTCCTATCCTTGACACATCTCCAAAGAAACAAAAGAATTCCTATGAGAAGAAACTAGTGCCAGACGGAACCCCTATCCTTGATGCAAATTCGCTAGAATACCTCTTTGCACAGGTAAAACAACATAAAACATAAAAATACCTCTTTGCACATTGTATAAAAAACCCTTAAGCCATTTCTCCTGTGGTTGGAATGGTTATATGCTTTATATGTGCTTGCATAAAACTGTCCCTTTCTCATGTTTTAAGGAACAATCTTCCCATAGAAATTAAAGGGAGAGATCCACCTCATTTATCCGTGTATGATTATATCTTATGGTATATTTTCTGATGTTTTGTCCAGTCTGGTTTTAAAATGTCCAAAACCATGGAGCTTCCACCTTTTCTCTTGTAAAGCTATTCCTCAGTCTAAAAGTGCAACCTCTGCTAGTCAACAGATAACAACATCAGGGTAATTTGGAACAGCTTGCATATCTTACTTCTAAAAAAAATTGTATGGAGTTAAAACCTTTGGCAGAGTCCTGATAACAAAATTACTCAATCACAAGCTGGATTTGTTTATTTGTAGTTCACTTTTCCCTATCTGCTGTCTCTGGTTTTTTTTTTGTATTTATTTTTAAAGAGTGTAAGCACTTTGAGGCAGGGATCCTGTCTTCTTACAGTACCTAATACATTGCTGCCAGAAAACAAAATATAATGTTGGTAGGAGAAATTGACTATACAGAGGAAACAGGAAAATAGACCATTCATAGAGACTGAATTGGTGGAGTGCTATGAAATGCACAAAGTAAACAAACTGGAAAAAAAATAAGGAACATTTTATTGTTAACATCTTTATGGTACTCTTAGGTGTTAATTGTAACTATAGTGGCTACAAAATTTTCAGACAGAAGTGTGACTTTCAAAGCTGACTGTCTGTTTTTAGAAGCAAGATAAGTCTGAAGAGAGCTGTTAGGGTGATGGTGTGTTGCTTAGCTGTGAAACCATAATAAAGAAAATATAACATAAACTACAGCTGCATGAACATCTGAGAAATCACTTTTGAAGGAAACAAGAGAACTGCATAAAATATATGGAGCAGAGATTTTTTTAAGGGGCATCACCCCACAATGTTTTATTCATTAAATGATCAGACATATGTCACAGTGTAGCATCGTCTGTGTAACTATTGCTTGAAAACCTTTATAATCAGGTTTATTTAAATAGCTCTTTATTTGGTTACTGTGGAAAAAAGGATGTGCATTACACTTTTGGATGGGTCATCGCCCTGGAAAACATTAGCAGACAGTGTTAACAAAATGGTATTTTGGGGGACTACCATTTTTTTAAAAAGTGGAGTATAAAAATCCCAACTCCAGTATAAGTGAGAAAAAATATCACTGCCCTGAAGAATTTACAATCTGATCTTTAAGATGTGATTCAAGGAGTAACAGAGTGATGAGGCGAGGAAGGACAAAGTTAATGAAATAAGATCATGGCTATTCTGTACTAGATGGTAAATATCTACATGGTGCTACAAAGGTTTATTTTCTACAGTTATTTTTTTAGGCAACACTGAGGAGTGGGGGTCTTTGGAATGATCTGAGTGGGATGTGTACACCAGTGTAGGTCCCAGTCTTGCAATGAGATGCACAAGTGATCCCCTGTGACCACAGTGAGTCTCATTGAAGTCACTGGAGCTCTGCAGGTACACAAGTGTACCTGCACATGTCACAGCGGAGGACTGGGGCTTTAGTGACCATCTAAGTATGATCTCTTTCTGTGCTACAGAAACTGCCATTGGAAAAAAACAAACCTTTTTTGTTTGGCACCGTTGTTGCTGCTTAGTCTCAAGAAGATTTTAAAAGACAAGATTTGTAGCGTGAGGGTGGCCTGGATGCATCTTTATTTGTTCCATTTTATATGTCTATATCCAGGAGAAGGCAGCCCTTCCTGTTTTGGAAGGCTCTGCTGCTGCTTGTGTAGGGCTATGATTTTGTTGACCCTGTTAGTATACAGAAGATAGACTATTGCAAACATTTTTAAAGCAACTTGTTCTCTTTGCTTCCCATTAAGGGACAGTATGATTTGGTGAAGTGCCTGGCACCAGTTCGAGACCCTAAAAATGATCAGGAGGTTCATGAAATTGAAAATGAATGTCTGGGAATGGCTGTCCTTGCAATCTCTCACTATGCCATCAAAAAAAACATGAAGCTGCCAGAACTTCCCAAGGATATCAGGTTAGTCAGTATAACTCTACACTCCACACAGTGTATGCTACTGCCCTCTTCTGGATAAAATATTAGACCTGCTGAAATGTGTATGGACACCTTGCCCTCCAGTGGCTGATCCGACAGAGGATATAAGCCAGTGATGGGCAACCTTCTGCCCATGGGCTGCATGCGGCCCGTCAGGATAATCCGCTGGCAGGCCGCCAGACAGTTGGTTTACATTTGCATGGCCGCCCGCAGCTCCCATAGCCACGGTTCACCGTTCCCGGCCAATGGGAGCTGTGGGAAGCGGCGCAGGCCGCAGGGACGTGCTGGATTCTGCTTCCCGCAGCTCCCATTGGCTGGGAACGGCGAACTGTGGCCACTGGGAGCTGTGGGCGGCCGTGCAAATGTAAACAGTCTGGCAGCCTGCTAGCGGATTACCCTGATGGGCCACATGCAACCCGTGGGCTGCAGGTTGCCCACCACTGATGTAAGCCCTGATGTTACTACAGCTAAAAGCAATTCTTTTTTAGCCCTTGTGGTAAGGATATGTAATTAGAAGATGCCCTTGAGTTCTGTTACCTGCTGGCTACAGTGAATTTTATGAAGCCACAGCATAAGTGAAAACCATAAAAGTCCTGAGTATTGATGGAATCCATATAACTTCAACGTGTCAGTTGTTATAGCAATAGATGATTCAGAAGTAGTACTTTTATTAACTAGTAGGCTGCCAATGGTAAATTGAACATCATAACCTTTAAATCTATTTTAGTAATGTTTTAGTTTCATGTAGTGTAGTCAAATTTGCTTTTCTTACCACTTCGTGTTAGTTAATGGTATATTGTGATTTTAATTTCAGTTTGCAATATAATTAAATATATTTACTAGATTATAATTACAACTCTGTTTAAGTAGGTAGTTATAATGTTAGTTTCTTGCCCAAGCAAATGTCAGTTTCTCAAAGGCTATATCAAAGGTTAAGGTCAAAATTCTCAAAAGTTTACGTCCATATTTAGGCACCTAAAAATGTGGCTCGAGTGGCAGAGGCGGTGGAGTACCCACCATTTCTCTTGATTTCATTTGGTAACTTTGGGCACCAAACTCAGAATTTTTTTCCCCTAAAGTAGTGAAAAAAATAATTGCAGTTTAAATACTTTGTTACTGTGTATTTTAATTGTTAACTGTCCCTTAAATGCTTTGTTACTATGTATCTTAATGAGATAATACTGATCTGAGACAGCTCCCTACATTTTTCTGAGGTTTTCAGATGTTTACTTATTGTCTGTATCTGTGTCAGGCAAAAAACTGGGCAATTATATCACGTGTTATGAAACGGTTTCTGTGGTATTAGTATTAAATGTACTATGAAACTTTGCATGTGTTTTCTGTAAATTACTTTTACAGTAAACCAACTGCAGTTTTATAACGGAAAATTGAGGTAGCAATATTAATATTCCATCGTTTTTTTCTAGTTATAAACGTTATATTCCTGAAACTTTGAACAAGACCATCAGACAAAGGAATATCTTAACCAGAATTCGGATAAACAATGTTTTCAAGGATTTCCTTAAGGAGTTTAACAATAAAACCATTTGCGACAGCAGTGTCTCTCCACATGATCTGAAGGTTAAATACTTATCAACAATGGAGACTTTAACTAAGCATTATGGAGCAGAAATTTTTGAGACTTCATCATTGCAGATTTTAACAGAGAATGAAAAACATGGATTTAATTTTGGAGACAATGGGATCATCCCACAGTATGAAGTGATGGTGACGGGAAACAATGGAATACAGTGGAGGCGCAAACCAAGTGTGAGTGTCCATTCACAGACAAAAAGACTGAGGTTATTTGGGGTGGGGGAAAACCAGGCTGCAAAAAACTTGAATCTATTTTGGAAAATTAGTTAATTGAGAAGTTTCACCTTCAGACTCTTTGGTTTGTTTAGTAGCGTTCTTGTCATGCCTTTTAAATGGTTAGCAGAACTCAATAGTCCTTTGCAAGTGGGAAACGTACTAGCTTTTGCCTCTAGAAAAACTTTGTTGTAACCTTGTTTAGATCATAATTGAAATAAGTGCAGCGGTCACCAAAACATTTTTCTGTATTGTAAAACCTCCTTGTGGTTTGATCAATTCGTAGTTTTTGCACAAAATGAGATTACTAATTTGGAAAGGAAGGGCGTGGTAGGTCAGTGGCAGAATTGCATTAGAAAACTGGCAGAAAGCCTGCCTTTGATCAGCACTGGTTCTTTGCTTTTGTGAGTGCTAGAAGTCAGAATGACAGGTTTCAGAGTAGCAACCGTGTTAGTCTGTATTCGCAAAAAGAAAAGATGAATGCAGATGGACACAGATGAATGCATCCGATGAAGTGAGCTGTTGCTCACGAAAGTTTATGCTCAAATAAATCTGTTAGTCTGTAAGGTGCCACAAGTCCTCCTTTTGTTTTTGAGAAGTCAGAATGAAAATGAATACCTGTACCAAATCAGCCAAACCAGATATTGCTCTGTAGGATTTCAAAAGCGGGATTTATGCAAATATTCTGTACCCATCCAAGTGATGAAAGGTGTGTGTGTGTGTGTGTGCACGTGCGTGCAAATGAATCAAACAGTAAATTGTGTTTCTGAAGTCAGCTGTATTTAAAATGCTGCTCTCAATATCAACGTTCATAAATAAGGCCACCTTTCGTAACTACATGTATACTGTGCCCGCACACAGATTTACAGTTATGCCAAAAAGGGGGCCAATGGAGGACAAAGGACTATGTCAAACTGCGTTGTAGGTCTGCATTTTGGACCGTGTCCTGTGGGTTTGGAAAGTGCTTGGCACATTCTAGGAACTGCAATCTCAATTGTGGTTGAAATGAAAATGTATATATAATATAACTAAGTGGGAAGATGCATATGCAGGAGTGCAGAGGACAGGGAATATGCTCATTCGTCTTGGCAAGTTAACCATGAAAAACCTTTATCTAATTACTAGTTAAAGATCCTCCTTGTGGCATAATAAATATGGTGGATTAGTTATGATCTCTCAAAAGATTGTTTTATAGTGTTATCTGTATATCTGTTTTATAGTTATCTGTGTGTACGCCACAGACAGAATTCCAGTAGATATCAATGGAGAGTTCATGCATATCTTGAGTTTTGAACTGAGTTTTTGTAATACTTGTTAATTATTTTGCAGACATTAACTAACCTTTGTTACCCTTAAGTACTATGTAGATAGCTTTATCCCGGTTTTACTGATGGAGAAAGAGAAAGGTTAACTGACATGTCAAAGGTTGCACAATGAATTGTTGGCAAAACTAGGCTTAGAATTTGTGACACTCCTCCTGGTGCCCAGAGCTGTGAATCACCCTGTTACCACATGCCTCCGGAGCAAGGGAGTCTTGTCTGTACCAGCTGGATATTTAAGTCCCTAACACAACCAGCTTGTCAGCCATTGAAGCACGCTCCTCAGAGCTACATAGCGCTGTCTTTACCTTGCAGGTTGACAACACACGGACCCCAGCGCCTGAGTCCTTTCAAAGTGTCCCCTTGTAGTATCCAGCCCCTAGTCACTGGATACCCACAGAAATCCCAGATCTCCCATTCTCAAAGGAACAGTGTACCTCTGTTTATCAGTTTTATCTTAGACCACTGCCCCTGTGTTATACACAGCACATGAGTACAATTATCAAACAGAAGGAAGTCTATTTAAGAAAGAATAGAGATTCAAATAAAAACCAGTGTAAGAGATGGGAACAAATGATTACATATAAAACAAAATCATAACATGTTTTCTAGAGGCTAAACTAACAGGTTTAACCTCTTGTCTAAAGAAGCATATCTCACCCAAAGTTCTCTGCAGCATTTTCAATCAAGCTACTTACTTCCTCCTGTTACTTTTCTCTCTGAAGCTTATACAGGCCTATATTAGCATTCAGTTCAGATGTGTGGGAGGAGACCATTGTGAACTATACAATACTGAATTTACATGTAAACAGCCAGCTAGATAAACATTTCTTGTGTGACAGAAAATCTATTTTTCACCTTTGCTGGTGGCCAGTCCCTTGAGGCAGACTTTAAGAACATAATTTCCAGCATAAATACATACCGGTAACTCCTTTCATAGCATCTTTACATACATTTCACAGTAATGTTGATGCCCAGAGTGTCACAAGCTTTTATTAGAGACCTTGTATGATACTCTTTGGGGAACTCTGATGTGAATACCAGACTTGGGATTCCTGTACCCTTATGTGCTCCATACACCCTCTTCTAGTTCGAATCAAGAGGTTCCTCAGTCACAGAATGTATGAATTATTTGCTCTCAATCCTGTTTCACTGAATAGTCTTTTTGAGAATGAATGTCCTCATAAAATACACATTAAAGACATGACTGGCCTGTTAATTCTGAGGGCAATGGTTTGAAATTTCCATCCAAGAGTAATTTTAGCATGAAAATGTATCTTCAACACTTAAAAAATATTTATCTGGTACTTTCATTCCAAAATGTTTGCAGGTTGTACAGCCTGAGAGAGAGAAACATAATAAACTAAAGAGGAAAAAATCAGACAGCAAAAACAAGAAGGATGAAGAAAAAAACAAAATCCGAGAGGAATGGAACAATTTTTCATATTTTCCTGAAATCACACTCCTTGTCATAAAGGAGTCCACAGTCAATATTAAGAAGCAGAACCACGAAAAGATGGTAAGGGCGTAGGTGCGGTAAGCTCTTTTCTAGCAGACGGATGAGCTAATGAGACAGTATTGCTGGACAAAAGTGGTGCCATTAATACCATCAGTCCTGTTAATTATCTAATGGGTACCAAACATTGTAATGTCAACAATTTGTGTTTAAAAAAAAAAGTGCTCTGGTTTGAAGAACAAATTGATAAACAACATCTTTCTTCCCCAAAGCTATGCAGCTGTGCACGTGTCGCTATCCATACCACAACACTTGTTTTTATCCCCATCCAAGCCCCCCCAGTATGTGGTAAACAACCCCACCACACTTCATAGTTAGTTCTCTGTGACCTCCCTGGATGCATCTTGGCAAGAGAAAAGCAGCATGGAGGAAGAAGAGAAACAGCAATGAGTATGGAGGGAGAGGAGACCAAGAGAAAGATCTGGTGGGGAAGAGGCAAGAGAACACCAGCAAACATAGGAATAATGGGACTCCTCAATGAGAGTACCCTGACCTTTTCCTCCTGCTGAGCATTGTTTTGGATGCCGGAATTTAGAAAGGAACTATCAAAACATGTGTGCCTCCGAATCCAGTGTGGCCCTCCCACGTGCTCCTGAGAAGTCTTTTTGAATCAGAGGGACCCACATGGGAGCCAGACTCTGCACTTGTGGATCTCACTGGAGAGTTAGGGTGTGTGTGTAGCTCACCATTCAGTGAAACCATCTGCTCACCCATGCTAACCAGTCAAAAAGATATCTGGGGATGTATGATGGTCATTGTTGCCCTTCTAAATATTTCCTTGTGCCGGAGGTACTTGGATAACATTTTGCCTTGCCCTTTGAAAAATCCTGGGGAAAACAGTAGCATACATAAATTCCCAGATTCTAACCCTCTCCTTCTCTCCTTTATTAATTTTTTAACTGAGCTACAATAATTCTTGACTAAAATATCTTCTTTATTCTAGGAATTAAAACTTTCTTCACACGAAGAGGCCTTGTCATTTGCATCTTTAGTAGATGGATACTTCAGACTTACTGCAGATGCCCACCTCTATCTCTGCACTGATGTAGCTCCACCTCTGATAGTGCACAACATAAAAAACGGCTGCCATGGACCCATTTGGTTAGTTTAAATGCGTTTATCCCCTCCTAGAGCCATAGCACTACCCTGACCTAACTGAGGAAATTGAGAAATTTAGGAGGGTTCTTGAGTAGCAGGGATTTGCTAGCAAAGGATTGTAGGGTGACTTAATTGATGATGAACAAGACTGCTGGAAACCAGCATTTATTTTTACAGTGCCAAACTGTTTCTCAGATATTTGCGTGTTCAGTTTGAGACAATTTGTTAAAATGTTGCTAAGACGGGAGAGAAGGAGAACAACATCTGGTGTAAGTCATTTGAAACTGTAGGGTAGGATTTTCAGAAGCACTTACTGCTGGCCTAACTCTTCTGTTATTGAAGTGAACAATAAAATGTCAATACTCCCAGCAGAGTAAGGCCACTGCTGAGCGCCTGTAAAAATCACACTCACAATGTCTTTATCTTCTGCATTGTGCTATTCTACATTTCCAAGAGCCCTGCTTGTCTGCAGAGATGGCAGACATTTTGTTTTCATAGTTCTACAGGCCATTACAAGTGACATGCACACAATGTTTTTTTATGTAGTCTGTACTTTCATTTTTTGTGCTGTTTTTTAAACTATAAACCCAGGAATCCCGACTTCCTCTCCAAACTAACCACTTCTTCCTGGGTTCTACTTTTAGCTTTGCCACTGACTACATGGAGTAACTGGGTACTGATTCTCTGAACCTCATTTTACTCATCTGTAAAATGAAAATGTTTACTTATCTCATAGGAGCAGGTGAAGGCTTAATTCATTAATGTCTATAGAGCACTTTGGCAGGGTCTGCACTACAGTTGAACTATTGCTAATTGAACTGCACATACATCCCCAAATGGTGAAGTGTGTCAACCCCAGCCAAGAAATCTTTGTATGCAAATACAAAGTGGTGGTATTCTCATTTTGATTGCGGCTGAAGGAATTATCTCATTTCTTCCTTTGTTTTTGCCATCCCATTGTTTTTTCCTCTTGTGTTCCCAGTCATAAAGCATATTTTTATTTTAGATTAAAAATAACGTCCATAAGAGACTGTAGCGTGTGCATGTCACTTGTAGTAGGCTACAACTACATATGAAAACATAATGGTAACTGTTCCTGCAGACAGGCATAGTTCTTCAGAATTTGAAGGTGCAACAAACAAAAAACAAAGCTATTACATGCATACAGTTCTGGAAGCTTGTTAACAAATTAAGGTGTGTATACATGCACACAGTATAAAGTATGTTTTAATAGTGTAAGTGCTTGTGTAATGCAGTTGCTCATTCTTGTTCTAAAGTGTAGATTTCAAGAGGACATTTGATTAAAATAGCTTTGGAATGTAACTGCTCATTTGACCATTATACTCATTCTTGTGTTAACTGTTTCAGCACAGAGTATGCCATCAACAAATTGAGACAAGAAGGGAATGAGGAGGGAATGTATGTGCTGAGGTGGAGCTGTACAGACTTTAATCACATCCTCATGACAGTGACGTGTTCTGAAATCTCACAGGTATGTTGGGACATATCACTAAATGAAGTTACCAGCATCACACACGGTGTTGGAGTCGGGTAAAGGCTATAAACTCCTCATGATCCATATACATGTAATTCGGTAGCTCAGTGCGTGTGATCCTGTCTGACTCTAACAACTGGCCCCAATAGCCACAACAGCCTGCGTACTCACAGGGTAAATCTCCATGAGTACCTGAACCAGTCTGACAGGGATACCACAGTTTATGTAGAATTCCCACTGGGACTCCACGCAGGAGGGCATGTGAGTGACAGATCCAAAATGATGCTTTTGTTGGATGAAATATATGCTCAAAGATCTGCAGAAGGAAGAGTGACTGTCAGAGTTCCTCACTCTATCCAAAATGTTTCTTTAGGTGGTTTTCTGGACAAGTGATAGAGACGTTAGATGAGGGTTGTTTGCCTGGATCTATATAAGAGGCATTGGACAAGGCATCATACAGGAAGTTAACAATGTACAGTATTTTGGAAGAAGTGACAGAATGATAAACTGGATAGAAAATTGGTTGTAGACAAATGTTGGGAAGTCAGGCAGTCACTTATTAAGTGGGTCCTTCAAAGGTCATTGCTGGGCTCATTTCTTTAAGGTTAGAATGTGGCCCCAAGCTATGCATGTACAACTCCCACTGACTTCAGTGGCAATTGTGTCGATGGATCTGAAAGCAGAATTGGTCCAGAGTTGTTAAAATTAACTACAGAAAGGAATGGTAGTATATGTAGGAGATGATGGTGCTCAGATGCTGCAGTGATTAGGACCATGTGAGTAAGTGGCTGGATGGACCACTTAAAAGAACCAAATTAGGAGGTACTTTCCAAAACTACTCAAGAATTTGAGCTATGTAGGGAATTGGGAGGAAAATGGCAAATGGAATTCCACAATATAAAATAACGAAGTGGGGTACATATGGGGGATTGAATGGGACAAGCAAATATACATACAGTGCCCTCTTCTGCAGGGTTTATCTTCAGATGGGAGTAAGGAAAGCTGCAGCAGAGGGCACACCCATAGGTAACAGAAATAGCAAAAACTAATGGGCTGTAGGAGAGGTAAGGCATCAGTGAGTAACTCTTGAAAGTAGGACTGCAAGATATAATAGATGCAAGGAAGGTAAAATTATGTAAAATTCCCACAAAAGTTTTACATTCCACAATAAACACTTTGTCCAAACCATAGTAACAGCCATGGATATAAGGATGGCTCCCCAATATACCAACCCCATGGGCTACCTTGAAGAAGAATTTCTGGACACATGCACCATGAAACCAATTATAAACCTGAGATACATTGAGGATATTTTCATCCTCTGGACAGACAAGCTAAACTCCCTTAGATTTCCACCATAACTTCAACAATCACCACCCATCCATTAAACTCTCTAGAACACTCCTACGCTAGCAGCTCCTTCCTGAAGACCATGATCAGCTTCAAGAATAGAAACCTATAGACAGCTATATACAAAAAACCCACGGATCAGCACACCTACTTTCACAGGTCCAGTAACCACCCCAAAACATACCAAGAAATATGTTATCTTCAGCCAGGCATTCAGATACCTCAGAATGTGCTCTGAGGAGAAAGTGTGGGATATACACTTTAACACACTTAAAACTGCCTTCACCAAACAGGGACACCAGAGAAATAGATCGCATCATGGATACCCCAAATACACTGAGAGAACCTTCTTCAGTACAAAAATAAAACCCTCTTCAACCGCACACCCCTAGTCATCATCTACCATCCCTCACTGAAACCCATACAAGGTATCATCAAACAATTACAACCCATACTCAGTGGGGATCGCATCCTGAAAGAAATCTTTCCTGACCCCTCTCTTCTAGCCTTCAAACAACTCCCCCAACATCTCCAAGCTCATCATCAGAAGCAGGGTCCCCACAGACCAGGACACACCAACTCAAAGCAGCACTAGACTTCGCCAGAACAACAGATGCAAAACCCGTAGACGTATGTCTAGTGCTGCAGTGATGAACACTCCCCACAACACACCTTTCAAGATGCATGAGTCCTACATGTGCCAATCACAACATGTGGTGTACCTCATCCAGTGCATTAAATGCCCCAATAACAACCATGTGGATGAAACCAGACAATAACTATGCTCTCAAACGAACTCATATAGAAAAATGATAAAAGACAAAAACACCCTATCACCTGTGGGCAAACACATTTTACAAAGCAATCACTCTATAGTGACCTCTCAGTCCTCATCCTTAAATGCAACCTGTGCAACATCTGCAAAAGATGAGCCTCGGAACTTAAATTCATAACTTTGCTAGACTCTAAAGATCATGGACTGAATAGAAATGCTGGATTTATGCTTTTTATGCTTATTACAACAGTCTGTAATCCCGTACCATTCCCCCCCCCCACTTCCCTGGCCCTGAAGAAGAACTCTGTGTAAGCGTGAAAGCTTGTCTCTCTCACCAACAGAAAAAGATAAATATATTACCTCGCCCACCTGGTCTCTCTGGGACCAACATGGCTACAACACTGCATACAGCTTTTGTATAGCAGCACATTTTACAGAAGTGGGTGATCCTTATTTCTCTTGTACAGATGAGGAAGTTGAGGCACTATGTGAAGTTTGTCTTGGAAAACTAAGAGAACCTTATTGCAAATGTACAAATACTGTAGAGACTTGAAGAAGAATCACACCCAGAGATCTAGTATGTAGCAGTTCAGGCTAAAAGATGGTGGTGGGGGGGTAAAATTACAAAGCCACAGGTCATAGGTACCTACAATTGAAAATGTACTCCCAGGATATGGACTGCAACTGGAGAACTTATTCAGGTTTGAGGTTTAAAAGGGCTTTTCCCCTCAGCATCTGGAACAGTCTATCCTGCATTATAGCAAGTCGAACCATCATTTGTGCATTTAAAGTTATTTTAGGAAAGATTTATATTTTGAGACATAAGTCCAAATTCTGCTGCCCTTAATTGACACTATTAGGAATTTTACTCCATTAAGGACTGGGGAAATTGGACCCATTATATTTTTAGTATATGCCACTTTAAAAGCAGAGGCTTTAAGTTGGCATGGGTAGATTTATGGTGCTAAATTGATCCCTGGTTTAATTTCACTGGCTTCTTTGGGCTCTCATCAGGGATGAATTTGGCCCCAGATGTGCTTGTCAGCTCCTGTGACCTATTGTTTCATTTTTCTGATTAACTTTTTGCCTTTTTTCCCCCTAAAATAGCAAAGGTTAAATGAGTCGATCCAGTACAAGAACTTCCAGATCGAGGTGACAAAAGACGGTTGCTTCCTTCATGGCTCAAATAAGTTTTTCCCATCTTTAAAAGAACTGATGGATCACTTGAAGGGACAGACCCTTAGAACGGACAACATAAGCTTTACACTGAAGAGATGCTGCCAGCCAAAACCAAAAGGTAGCGACTCTCTCTTCAGACTTTGTTCTAGAGAAGCTGAAGGCATTTCTGATCACAGAGGGACTTTGCATTTTGTTCTGTTTTTAAATTAATTTTTGACAGATTTAAAAATAAATTTAAAAATATCCTACTTGTTTCAGGGGGGAAAAGCCGTTTTTAATAAAAAAGACTAAGTACTTCATAGTACTGCAAGTACGATGAACAAATTATTTTTTGAGAACTGTGTGATCTCAGCACAGGATGCTCAAGGGCTGTTGCTAATTGCTAGCATAATTTGTGCACAGTTTTAAAAGTAAGTAGCACATTGCCTTCAGCACGTAAATAACCAGCCCTGTAGTATCAACAGTAGAATACTAATTTTAATATAGCTCTTAGAGGTTTTTAGAAAAAATCTCACACATGACTCATAATGAGTCATGTGTTTCAATACCTCTTAATATTGTAAAATGTAAGCAGTAATCATTTACTGGCTTCCCCCACCCCCAGCAAAAGACATATGCACCAAGCAGGGATGCTGCCATCCACTGTGTTCTTTGTTCTACCAAAGAAAGCAGGCAGGGCGGAATGTCATGTTTACAACCTTTTTTTTAAATATCACTTGCTCTTGAGGTCAAGTGTTTAATAATAAATAATAATAATAATAATTAAAAGAGAGAAACAAAGGGGTTGATCCTGAAGCCATTACTCAGATAGAACACACTTTGAAGTCATTGGGAATTTTGTCTGAACAAGGACTTCAGACTTTGCTTTAAAATTGGTTATGGGAGTAGAACGGAACTTTGCGCAGTGTGTTGTGAATTTCATTAAAGTCACTTTATAAAAAGTGTACAAATTACTTGTAGCTGAACTTTATGAAAGAGGAAGGACGTGGTGTGGTCCTGTTGATCAGATAATGGTTTCCTGTTAGAATAAGGGGAATAACTGAGATAAAGTAGTTACCTTTTTAGTTTGTGAAAAGTTTAGACAAATATAATTTGTACATATGAGAGGCATGTTGCCCTGCTTATGTAACAACATTGACAGTGCTTCAGAAACTAAAGCCAGGGGTGGCCAACCTGAGCCTGAGAAGGAGTCAGAATTTACCAATGTACTTTGCCGAAGAGCTACAGTAATACGTCAGCAGCTCCCTTCCCTGCCCCGCTCACAGCGCCTCCCACCCACCAGCGGTCCTGCTGATCAGCACCTCACCCTCCATCCCCACACTTCCTGATCAGCTGTTTTGTGACATGCCGGAGGCTGGGGGGGGGAGCAAGGGCATGAAGGCTATGGGGAGGGTGCGGGCAGGGGTGCAGTGGGGGCAGGGCCTGTGCAGAGCCAGGGGTTGAGCAGTGAGCACCCTCTGGCATATTGGAAAGTTGGCACCTGTAGCTACAGCCCCAGAGTCAGTGCCTATACAAGGAGCCGCATAGTCACTTCTGAAGAGCCGCAGGTGGCTCCGGAGCCACAGGTTGGCCACCCCTGAACTAAAGTAACAATATTAATTGTCTGGAGCACTGAGGGATTAATGCAATTACACTTTAAACAGCCTAAATTCTTGAGATACTTTCTGCAGTTGTAGTAATTATAATATTATAGGAGGGTAAACTTGTATCTCCTGCTCACCCAAGACCCCCACTGACTTCATCAGAATTGCATCTGTTTATGTGAGTGTAAATTTGTCTTTGGACCTTGATGGGGACTCTTGTTGCAAGGTCCTGAAGGTTCACTGTTCTGTTTCTACCCTTCCAGTTTGCCTTTTTAAAAATAAAAAAAAAAATCTGAGGTTTGTAAAGAAATTTTGGTGTGAAATGAAAAGAATTTTTCAGTCTTAGCTCTGTATAACCTTCCTAAAGTATTATAAGTATGCAGAGTCATAATCTGACCTTGAGAGACATGTTCTACTCCCTGTAATGGCAAAGAGAAAGGACACACATGCATCTGAAGCCCAAACAGTGTTTTGTACTTGCATACCTTTAACTAACTGCTGCTGTAGCACGCAAAACAACCAAATATGTATGTGCAACTTATGGATCGGATTGTAGATTTTCTCTGTACAGATACACAAGGGAGGGTGAGGGTGCACTGAGCCTTTATTCTGAGCCCCTCCAGCCACTTCCAAGGTGAAGTGATAGTTTTTGCACTCTGGGCACTGGGACTGCTAGCACCCCCTGAAGTGCAAGCAATTCTGATTGGAAAGGAGAAGGGCTTTCTTACCATCTCCACACAGGCCAGCTGATCTGGCTGCCCTCAGAATGGTGTGCAGGTTATACCCTCTTGATGGGTGGCCCAGAGGGCATGCAGGGAGCACCAGGAAACCCTGTGTACATTGCTTTCCAGCACTCTGCTTGAGGCATTGTGGAGTTGCAGTAACCCCAAAGCAGGCCAGTGCTTAAGAGGCGCATTTGTGTCCTGTATATTTTTCAGTGCGGTAAGTACTGGCAATTTTTGTGGTGCTGTACAGAGCACCACTTGCTAATGTTACAATGGGGAGATTAAAAAATGGGTGTTTTTATTGGATTCTCTTCCAAATGATAGTTAGATGCTAGGAGAAGTTACCTGACCAGATAATCACATTTTATGGTTTTTCCCTTAAACTATCTTGGAATATTAGCTTGCAGTTAGCGTATGGAAGATAAAACTCCATTATTGGATGAACTATTAGAAGTAAGGAGTTGCTAATTTATGATTAAAAAATCAACTACAGCAAAGTGTGTTTTCTCTCTTTCCAGAAATCTCTAACTTGTTAGTGGCAACAAAGAAAGGCCAGGAATGGCATCCGGTTTGCCCTCTAGGTCAATTGAGTTTTCATCGAATTCTTAAAGAAGAAGTTAAGCAGGTAAGTAGCTGCTGAATATCAATTTGCTTTGCTGATCTTTTCAGTTGCCTAGTATAACTGAACAAGAACGAACAGCCTTCATAACATGAAATCTCAACAATGATAGTCTCCCCTCCCCCAAAAGAGGCTTTAAAAAAATCATTATTACTTTAAAAGAGCTATTAAGCCACTCAATGTGAACTCAAGTGTTTTAGCAATGATGGGTTATATGCACTTGCATAGCAGGAAGGAAGTACCCCAGGTACATGTTTTTCCATCAGGAAGGAAAAACACATTTCCTAGACTGGTTTTGGGAATCTTAATTTTATCACCCATACACCCTAACCCACTTTGTTTTGTAAAGGTCTTATATTTTTAAAGGCTTGATTCAGTAGAGAAAAACTGTACTGAAGACTGAGATCTTGCCCAGTAGGAAATGAGGAACCTAAGTGATTTAGGAGCTTAAGCCCCATTTTCAGAAGTGACTGAGGGATTTAGGAGCATATGTCTGTCTGAAAGTCAATGGGATTTAAGTGACTATAAAGCTATGTCTATACTACCAAAAAAACCCTGCAGCAGCAAGTGTCAGAGCTTGGGGTCAACAAATACAGTAACTCTTCACTTAACGTTGTAGTTACGGTCCTGAAAAATTCTACTTTAAGTGAAACGATGTTAAGCGAATCCAAATTTCCCATAAGAATTAATGTAAATAGCAGGAGTTAGGTTTCAGGGAAAGTTTTTTCGCCAGACAAAAGACTATATTTTATATATATATATACACGCACGCACACACACACACAGAGTATAAGTTTTTAAACAAATAATTTAATACTGTACACAGCAATGATGATTGTGAAGCTTGGTTGAGGTGATGAAGTCAGAGGGTGGAAGAGGGTGGGATATTTCCCAGGGAATGCCTTACTGCTAAACGATGAACTAGCACTCAGCTGAGCCCTCAAGAATTTACACATTGTTAATGTAGCCTGACACTCTACAAGGCAGCACAAATGGAGGGAGGGGAGACAGCATGGCAGAGAGAGACTGAGACACACACCCTGTGTGTGAAAGAGACAGAGGTGCATTGCCCCTTTAAGTACGCTGATGCCACTCTAAGTACATTGCCCTTTTAAGTAGATCAGCAAGTTGAGACAGCAGCTCCTGCCAGCAAGCTCCCTCCGTTCTGAGCCCTGTGTGTCGTCCCCCCCATCCCCGACTGCTCTGTGAGATGGGGGGCAGGAGCGGGGGACATGCTGACATTAGCACCACTTTTCTCTTTCTCCCCCTCCCCCCCACGCACAGCAAGCAGGAGGCTCCTGGGAGTAGCTCCAAGGCAGAGGGCAGGAGCAGCACATGGCAGTGTGGGGAGGGACAGCTGAACTGCCTGGCAATTGATAGCCTGCAGGGCAGCTGCCGCACAGGGAACTTAGGGGAGCTGATAGGGTGCTGCCGGTCCACCCTGGTTCCAAGCCCCACCAACTAGCTCCAACGGGCTGCTCTTTCTGCAAGCAGTGGACAAAGCAAATGGCTGCCAAACAACGTTATAAGGGAGCATTGCGCAACTTTAAATGAGCATGTTCCCTAATTGATCAGCAACGTAACAACATTAACCAGGACAACGTTAAGTGAGGAGTTACTGTAGCAGTGTAGTTGTTCCTGCCTGGACTCCCGCTGGAGAAGGAACATCTGCAGTGCTGTTTGTAGCCATATATTTGGGCTCACGGTGTTTGCGCTCTGTTGACCTGGGCTCTGAGACTCACTTCTTTATATATGTAGGTTAATAATCAGCACATACATACATACTCCCTGCAAAAGAACCAAGGAGAATCCTCTGTTAATTTGAGGGGAAATGTCATTTGTTTTTTCTAATATCCCTGACAGTGAGTTCCATTGAAATACTACTTGCTGTAATTTTTTGGTAACACTTTAAAGTAACACATCAATGTCATCCTGTTGTAAATAAGAGGCCAGTCATCATTAATTCATTTGACATTCATTCTAATAACATTAAATCATGCTGGACTTGTTTGGTATTAATGTAACTCTACTATCTGACATCCTATTAATACTAAATGAGTTCAGCATGATAAAAAATACCATTTTCAGAGAATACCAAAAGGAGAAATAATGAGCTGGCACTTACTGTAAAATGTTACTAGTTTCTCTTTGGTGATAGACTGCTGATGGTGAAATATGAAAATTACTAAAGCAAGTGGAATAGGGAATTCTGAGTGGTTGCAAGGACTTGTATTAAGTATTTTTGTAGCTCTACACCAGTTTCTTTGATGCCTTGGTTTGAAAATGCCGGTTATACATTATGTTTTAGGATGAACACCTTGGAAGAGGAACAAGAACACAGATTTACTCTGGGATTCTTAATTATAAGGAAGATGAGACTGAAGGGTACCAGGATGAAAAAGAGAAGAAAGTCCTCCTCAAAGTCTTGGACCCCAGTCATAGAGACATTTCTTTGGCAAGTTCTTTCTCTTTTCAGTTCATAGTATACAAACAAGTAGCCAATGCCACCTTATTCATTTTCAGATGTTCATTATTTAAATAACATTAGTTTTCATACAAAACTGAGGAAGTTGAAAAGTTAAGGCTAGCATTTTGCATGCAAGATGCTACCTAACATTCCCTGGCAATACTCATGCACCTGACAAGATCAATCTAACTTAGTCAGGAGTCAGTTTTTTCAGATGAGTCACAAATCCAGGCCCTGATCACACATGCAAGTAACTTCTGAAATCAGCAGTCCCTGAGTTCAGTGGGCTATACACAGGGATAAGCACTTGTTGTAACTACTAGATTACGCCCTGGTCCTGCATGCAGTAGGCTTGGAGTCAGGATGCTAGAGTCTATCAGTACCTCTGACACTGATACACCATATAGCCGCATGTAAGTCACTTAACCTCTCTGTGCCTCAGTTTACTCCTTGTGAAGAGGAGCTGCTACTATACAGGAGGATGGCGAGGCTTAATGTTGATAAGATGCTTTGAAAACCTTGGCTAAAGAGTTGGCATGGTATATAAAGTTTAAACAACAGCACTTCTATTGCACCTTCTCTGCAGTGGTGTTTATGTAGCACTTTAATGTGTTGTTGATCCTGCATGTTACAGGAGTCACATTAGTCTTTCCTGAACTTTATAATATTGTTATGTCACATTCAGTTGTTTCCTTACATGCCTTACTTTAGGATAGCCACTGAAATGCTGGTATTTACTTTTACTGTTTCACTTTCTAACAGGCGTTTTTTGAGACAGCAAGCATGATGAGGCAAATTTCCCACAAACACATCGTCTTCCTTCACGGGGTCTGTGTCCGTGATGTAGAAAGTGAGTTCATTTAAAATCTGTCAATGTGGCTCTTACGAAGTGAAGACATAAGCCGTTAAGGGAAGGGTAGGTCTTTTTGTTCAGCGCCTAGCACAACAGGTCCTAGTCCATGACTGGGAGCCTGAGGCGCTACTGCAGTACAAATAATAAATAATAATCAAAGTGGTGGAAGAATTGGAATGAGGAGCCTTTCCTTCAGCTGTGTGTCATATCAGAGTTTCCCCTCCTAATGCCACTTATCTTCAGACAGTGTTTATAAGAATGGTTTCCTTGGGTCAGGAGACCAGGCAAGGTATTGACTTCCCACTCGTTGGAGTTTTGCCTTCCAGTAGAGGTTACCTCCCAGGTCAGGGTTGAGGAGGAGGCTAGTGCATATACTGTACCTATTATGTGGCCAGTGGAACCCTTTGTTAATCTGGATCCTTCATAAGCAGTGAATTCACTTCTGATTTAAAGCATTAGTACAGACACAGTGGTATGGTGCAGATGCTCCAAAAATGTAGCTCTCCATGAAAGACCCAGTTATGCCCTTTGGATTATTTCAGACATAATACTGTTACTACATACTGAAGGCATGACTCTATTTTTGTAGATATCATGGTTGAAGAGTTTGTTGAATTTGGGCCACTGGATCTCTTTATGCACCGGAAAAGTGATGTTCTCACAACTCCTTGGAAATTCAAAGTAGCCAAACAGCTGGCAAGTGCATTAAGCTACTTGGTAAGTAGGCAGCATGCTAGTGCGGAAAAGTACTGCCTGTAGGGTTTTTTTGGTCTAAATCGCAAAATTAGTGTGCAATAGCTGCCAGTGAAAATCCTTTTTCTGGGTATTGTTCAATAGAACACACAGGAACATCTGTGGTCTGGGGTGGGGTGGAAGTCAGACCTCCTTGTTGTTTTTATTATATTATTTCAAATAATGTCCAAGGCTCCTAGAGTAGCAGATGGGTGCCTATTTAATGTCAAATCTAATACAGTGCCCATCTCTGCCATTGTATGACCTCAGGCAAGTTACTTAATGCCCCTGTCCTTCATTTACATCCCGAATGAAAGAGGGATGATGATTCTTGCCCATTTTTATATAGTGCATTGAGATCTGTGGGTGAAAGTGGCATATAAGTGTGCAGTTCCCCTCCCCCCCCCGCCCCTCCGCTCCAGGAGCATTTCTCCCAAGCTACTTGTTGGAGCTCAGACTGGATACTTTACATCTCTCTCTTGAGCTATGTAAGCAAAGGTATTTGCATAGCATGGCTGCATCATTGTATTTATTGTAACCCTCTTTTAAATACAGGAGGATAAAGAGTTAGTACATGGAAATGTGTGCACGAAAAATATTTTATTAGCAAGAGAGGGAATTGACCATGAATATGGTCCTTTCATTAAACTGAGTGACCCAGGAATTCCAATAATGGTGCTATCCAGACAAGGTACTGTATAAAATCAGATTATTCATTTTACTGCGGTTGGGAAGGAAGAGAGAAAGTGTTGTTTTACCAGATAGTTCCTTCCGGCTGACAGCCTGGTATCTCTCTCTTCCATTCTGTACAGCTTTGAGTTATAGTTTTGTGGATACACATAATAAAGTGGTATGTTGCTTACATTCAGTGTATTTGGTTACCTTTGTCATTCTGTGCGCACACACACACACACAAGATGTAAAAAAGCAACATTGGGTTTAATGAGCTAATGTAAGAGGAACCCCAGTTTTATGAAGGGCTCAGGGCACATCCGATACGTGTAACTAGTTATTTGTTAAATTGCTGTCGTGCAATAGAATGCTGAATAACTTGGCAGTTTTTCTAGCCCTTAGTTGATATTAACTCCAGATCATGTAAACTGTCTTTTATCTAAGAATGTGTCGAACGAATCCCTTGGATTGCACCTGAATGTGTTGAAGATTCAAAAAATTTAAGTGTTGCAGCAGACAAGTGGAGTTTTGGCACAACACTGTGGGAAATCTGCTATAATGGAGAAGCACCCCTGAAAGATAAGACATTAGCAGAGGTAAAAGTCTGTTTCATAAGTCTTACCTTGCTGTGTGAAATGCATCATCTTTGGCACTTATTGTTTCCATACTAGACTTGATAGTAGTTTAATATTTTCTGTTCAACCAGCTATTTAAATCCCATGTGAAAATTCAGTACAGGTGGGTTTGCTAAGGAGGATGCTGCTGCTTAGAATACTGCAGGTCTGAACTAGGAATTGGGCTTTGCCTGACAACAAAGATAAATAACTAATGCTTGACTACTGACCCTGTATCAGCTTTTTGAGGGTGGGATTTCTTAACCCAGTGTAATAAGTGATTAGCGCTTTTGAGGCACCTGCACCTGCACCTGCACATATGACATTTAAATCACGCTATTTATCCCAAAGCACTTGACAAAGATTCAATGAAATTTAGTTACCTCTGGAGGGCAAGATCCAGCCAGCACACTGAATGAGTGGGAGAAAAGGGCATCTAGCCAGCACCAGCAGAGGAAAGTACTGCACTGACAGTGCCGGATGGAAAGCCCTCCCTCCATTCTGATTTTCACAGGTTTCATTTATTTGCTAACTGTTCCCTTAAACCACTCCCAAGACACTCACACACACCCAAAAAAAAAGACCACTTATGATCAATAGACTGTCACCTCTGTGTCTGGATGTTATTGGACTAACTCAGCTTATTTTCTGACTAGATGACTGCAGTTCGTAGCTCTTAGAATCACTGACTCTCCCATGTTAATTAAGACACAGCCCCCCTCATTACTCCTAGCCATTCATCCGTGCAGTCTCAGAGCGCTTCCAATAACACTGCTTCCTGTAGTCTGAAACATTCACATAGGTAGACATAGGTAGACAGGATTCCCTTCCCAAAACAATGCCATGCTGGGCTCTCTTAAGAACATAAGAATGGCCATACTGGGTCAGACCAAAGGTCCATCCAGCCCAGTATCCTGTCTATCGACAGTGGCCAATGCCAGATGCCCCAGACGGAGTGAACCTAACAGGTAATAATCAAGTGATCTCTCTCCTGCCGTCCATCTCCACCCTCTGACAAACGAAGGCTAGGGACACCATTCCTTACCCATCTTGGCTAATAGCCAATAATGGACTTAACCTCCATGAATTTATACAGTTCTCTTTTAAACCCTGTTGTTGTCCTAGCCTTCACAACCTCCTCAGGCAAGGAGTTCCACAGGTTGACTGCGCACTGAGTGCAGAAGAACTTCCTTTTATTTGTTTTAAACCTGCTGCCCTTTAATTTCATTTGGTGGCCCCTAGTTCTTATATTATAGGAGCAAGTAAATAACTTTTCCTTACTCACTTTCTCCACACCCACATGATTTTATAGCCCTCTATCATATCCCCCCTTAGTCTCCTCTTTTCCAAGCTGAAAAGTCCTAGCCTCTTTAATCTCTCCTCATATGGGACCCATTCCAAACCCTTAATCATTTTACTTGCCCTTTTCTGAACCTTTTCTAATGCCAGTATATCTTTTTTGAGATGAGGGGACCACATCTGTATGCAGTATTCAAGATGTGGGCGTACCATGGATTTATAGAAGGGCAATAAAATATTCTCCGTCTTATTCTCTATCCCTTTTTTAACGATTCCTAACATCCCGTTTGCTTTTTTGACTGCTGCTGCACACTGCGTGGACATCTTCAGAGAACTATCCACGATGACTCCAAGATCTTTCTCCTGATTTGTTGTAGCTAAATTAGCCCTCATCATATTGTATGTATAGTTGGGGTTATTTTTTCCAATGTGCATTACTTCACATTTATCCACATTAAATTTCATTTGCCATTTTGTTGCCCAATCACTTAGCTTTGTGAGATCTTTTTGAAGTTCTTCACAGTCTACTTTGGTCTTAACTATCTTGAGCAGTTTAGTATCATCTGCAAACTTTTCCACCTCACTGTTTACCCCTTCTCCCGATCATTTTTGAATAGGATTGGTCCTAGGACTGACCCTTGGGGAACACCACTAGTTACCCCTCTCCATTCTGAAAATTTACCATTTATTCCTACCCTTTGTTCCCTGTCTTTTAACCAGTTCTCCATCCATGAAAGGATCTTCCCTCTTATCCCATGACAACTTAATTTACATAAGAGCCTTTGGTGAGGGACCTTGTCAAAGGCTTTCTGGAAATCTAAGTACACTATGTCCACTAGATCCCCCTTGTCCACATGTTTGTTGACCCCCCTCAAAGAACTCTAATAGATTAGTAAGACATGATCTCCCTTTACAGAAACCATGTTGACTTTTGCCCAACAATTTATGTTCTTCTATGTGTCTGACAATTTTATTCTTTAGTTGAAACAATAGTAATTTGCCTGGTACTGATGTTAGCCTTACCGGTCTGTAATTGCCAGGATCACTTCTAGAGCCCTTCTTAAATATTGGCGTTACATTAGCTATCTTCCAGTCATTGGGTACAGTAACTGATTTAAAGGACAGGTTACAAACCATAGTTAATAGTTCCGCAGTTTCACATTTGAGTTCTTTCAGAACTCTTGGTGAATGCCATCTGGTCCCGGTGACATGTTACTGTTAAGTTTCTCAATTAATTCCAAAACCTCCTCCAGTGTCACTTCAGTCTGTGACAATTCCTCAGATTTGTCACCTACAAAAGGGTTGGGAATCTCCCTGACATCCTCAGCCATGAAGACTGAAGCAAAGAATTCATTTAGTTTCTCTGCGATGACTTCATCGTCTTGAAGTGCTCCTTTTGTATCTCGATCATCCAGGGCCCCCACTGGTTGTTTAGCAGGCTTCCTGTTTCTGATGTACTTAAAAAACATTTTGTTATTACCTTTTGAGTTTTTGGCTAGCTGTTCTTCAAACTCCTTTTTGGCTTTTCTTATTACGTTTTTACATTTAATTTGGCAGTGTTTATGCTCCTCTCTATTTACCTCACTAGGATTTGACTTCCACTTTTTAAAAGATGCCGTTTTATCTTTCACTGCTTCTTTTACATGGTTGTTAAGCCACAGTGGCTCTCTTGTAGTTATTTCATTGCATCCTCTCTTTCATGCTGGGATTTCTCCTTTCTTTCTTCCATCCTCCCCCAGTGCCTGGCTGACCCACTCCCTGCTTCCTTTCCCCATTCCTCCCTGTCAGATGTTAAGACCTGTCGCACCCTGTGCCCTGCCCCCTTCCTCTCCTGCAAGCCTGGGACTCCCACATCCTTCTCTGTTGCACTAATATTCTTTAATCAAACCAAAGCCATGTTCTCCCTCACCACTGCTGGGATCCCTGCAGCTAAGATTCCATTTGGGATTCTTCTCCCTTGAAGTTCTGCTCTTCTAAATAAGAGGCTCTTCAGTTCCTAGCCTGCACAACAACTACTAAACTGTTCAAGGAACATATCTGGGTCCCTTAGCCACTGCCTGAGAGGAACAGGTAGCTCAGCAGAAGAGCTGAGCTACTGAAAGGAATTTGCTGCCCTGACAACAGCGTGTTCCACCATCCTCCTTTCCCCTCCCTAAAATGCGCCTTCTAACCAATACATCATGGGGGCAACAAATCCTTAAGTTCCTAGACAACGCTTTTTGTGAGGGATGCAGTGGCACAAAGGAGATATACACCAAACCCTTCTCAGAAATGGCTGCTCTGAGCTATCCCAGACTATACAGAAACTAGTCTCCCCTGGAAGGAGACACCTGTGCAGAGTTTCTGGTGAAAAGGAACTGTTTTGTGAAAGCTGGGGTGGGAGAAAGATCAAAGTCAGATTTGTAATGGAAAGTGTCTTACGATAGCTCTGGAGTTAAAGTATGCGTCTGTAATATAAGGTCTACAATCCATGCTGGGTTTTCTGTCTTGTCGTACAGAAGGAGAGGTTCTATGAAGGGCACTTCATGTTGGTAACACCATCCTGCAAGGAACTAGCTGATCTGATGAAGCAGTGTATGCACTATGATCCCAATCAGAGACCATTTTTCAGAGCAATTATGAGAGACATCAATAAAGTGGAAGAACAAAGTAAGAAATTATTTTGCTTCTTAGTTTGCTATTAAAGGAAGGTTGGTTTATTTAGCTAAGTTGGATACTTTAGTGTAACTTCATGTACTAGCAAAGATTTACCATGACAACACATACTGGTAGCAGAAATTCTATGTGTAATACTGTTGAGGGTGTGAGTTTTATATCATTGAAACAATGGGAATAAAACATGTCTGTGGGTATGTGGAAAGACTATGTAATTTCTATGTTGCGTGTGGGTTAAGTCAAGCTGAGCTGAAATAATTGCAGCCAGTTTTGATATTGTGTATGTCAAGCTATGTGGGCCTATGGCTAGAGTCTAGAGACTATGGCTGTAGTCATTTGGGAATCTTAATCAGGGCACAGATGTAAGTACAGAAAACTGTGGATCTGATCCAGGTTGCTAAAGGGCATCATGTTTTCAAAGGAAACTTGACGTTACTTTGGACTTCTCTGCCCCCAATACTGAATAAGCCACTTACTTAGTCCTTATTCTGTTAATTAGCACTTTTCATGTTCCAAGTGCTCTGTCAAACACTAAACAACTAATCCTTATTTCATCTCTGGAAGGGAGATGTGGGGCTACCCAAAATACTCATCCCCTTCTGTAGATGGGGCAACTAAGTCTAAATCTGAATCTTGGACAAGAACTCACAAGGACCCAGCAGCTTAGCAGAGCTAGGCATTGAGACAAGCAGCAGAGCAGGAGGTGGGCAAACAATCAGTGAGGGGAGGGAGGAATCTTCTAGCATTCAGCAAGGAGGAGGAGGGACTCAAGGGAAGAAGTATGCACTGCGAGCAGGGACAGACTTGAGTCAGGAGCTTTGGATATGAGTAAAACCTAAGGAATAAGGGGACTCTGGGACCCTGTCTAACTTGGACTGTGTTGATGCTGTTTTCCATGTTAGATCCTGATATTATCTCTGAGAAGAAGCCTTTCGCAGAGGTCGATCCCACTCTCTTTGAAAAACGATTTTTGAAAAGAATCCGAGATTTGGGGGAGGTAAGTAGAGTGGCGTGTTTAGGCCGTGACATGAAGAAGCAGACATATGACTGAGCCTTCTCTCGCTGACACCGCTCCCTGGCAGCATGGCTCCTTTGGGCGCCCCCGCTGCCTGCCAACCAAGGAATTCTCTCAGTGCAGAGGAGTCTTTGTGGAAGAAGAGGTGGTGTGCACTTTTAAGCAAATTGCTTGTAGGGCTGCTGGAGGAGTGGGGAAGGGGATGATTTACAGGTGCCTCCACTGCACAGAGACAGGGATAGCGTGGGTACAGGCATCTAGGCTAACCCCTTCAGGATAAAAAGGACAGAGCCAAACATGGAAGGTGCACTCCACACACGGATTTGGGGCAAAATCTAGCCCAGGGTGATCAGAATTCACTGGTAATATGTTACCCAGAGGAGCAGCATCACCAGTCTGTCTCTTTTTGATGTACCCTTTCTGTAGCATGATGAGAAAAACTGAATTGTAAATGCCTGAAGTATTGCACTAAGCATTATCTGGCTAGTGATCACAGTCCAAAATGGTTTCCTTTTTTCTTTTAAAATTAGGGTCACTTTGGCAAGGTTGAACTCTGCAGGTACGATCCAGAGGGTGATAATACAGGAGAGCAGGTGGCAGTAAAGTCCCTGAAACCTGAGAGTGGTGGGAATCATATCGCTGATCTGAAGAAAGAAATCGAAATCTTGAGGAATCTTTATCACGAAAACATTGTGAAATACAAGGGAATTTGCATAGAAGATGGTAAATTTTCAAGTAGAAGAAGATTAAAAATATAAGATTTTTCCTTCTAAGGTTCAGCATAAAAACTTACTCTGGATATGAACTTAGATTTTTTTCTTCTTGGTGTAGGAGTTAAAATCTCTCTGAAGTTTCTCCCCTTCCCTTTTTATGCACTCAGAACTTTAAAGTGGCCACACTGGCTGCCCCCTCACGAAAAATGTGTGTGTAGGACAATTAACTATGGCTCAATTACAATCCCGTGGTAAATAGAGCATTTATTAAGGAAGCACAGACATAATCATAACTATTCCTCATATCAAAGCAATTGTGGTGCCCATAAGGTCATATTTACATTAAATCCTTTGTGTGGCTCTGTCTCATTAAACATGTCTGCATTCTTCAGCTGTCACCATGACCGCTATTTTAACACGTCAGTATTTGGTTGGGAGCCACAGTTATCTGCCTTGTGAAGTAGGATCTCTGTCTTCTGACCCATTCATGCAGCACCCAGCACCATGGGTGTTGCTGACACTGATTGGAGCCTTGGGGGCAATACAGCCATGAATATAAATACTTCCAAGTATAGGAAAAAACCCCAGTATGTTAGATGCCACTAAGGTGGTAACTGTTGAGCAAGCGTGGGAGGATGAATGTTGGAGTTAAAGCTGTGGTGAAATGAGCATTCTTACTATGTTTGCAGGAGGAAGTGGGATTAAACTCATAATGGAGTTTCTTCCTTCTGGGAGCCTAAAGGAATATCTCCCACGAAATAAGAGCAAAATCACTCTGAAACATCAGCTAAGATATGCAGTTCAGATCTGCAAGGTAAGCCTGGAAATGGAGTCTTTCAGCAGCACAATGTCTGTTTAATTTGTAAGTACTTGAAAAGGTGGGAGGGGGAGTGGTGTACATGGACAAGGTCCCTGCTCCTAGGGGGTGTGCATTACTTATGTCTCTTACCCTGTGTCCAGCAGCTGAAACCTAATGGGGATAGCGTAGTTACCAGTGTGGAGAGCCGCTGCGGCGTGAGCTCATGGAAAACCAGTGGTTTTGAAGGAGGGAGGAAAGGGTGGTCGGCACGCAGAAAAGCTGGCGGCAGCTCCAGCAAAGAGGATGGGAGTGAAAAGTTGCTAAATGTAGACGTGGCAGGACAAAAGGGAGCATTCAGGAGGGGGACCATGGCCAGAGCTCAGAAGAGCTGGAAACAAGAACCAAGCAGTAGGCAAGAGGAGAGCTGTGCTGGATCTCGGAAGCTAGGACAAGGAGTGTGCACTTGATACAGAAAATGAGGGAGCAAGTGGAATGATGTCACAACATCAGCAGGAGTGGAAGAGTGTGTTAGGAACGTGAGGAGGGGAGGTGACAGCCAGGTTGTGAGCGTGGGAGAACGGTGGAGTAGGCTGGGGGATTAGATACCATTTTAAATGCATCTAAATTTGAAATCAGTGGGTCATTGTGGAATAGATGCTGGAAAGACAGCTAGGTGTGAGACTGAGCAGAGGCCAGAAAAGCAGATCAGGCCACCCAAGGGCAGAGTTTAGAAGGAGCAGCAGCTGAGGACAGACTGACAAAATGGAGGAGAGGGGAGAAAGAAGAGCCACGAGTAGAGATGATGGTGTGAATAGTGAGTGAGGTAGAAGAGAAGCTGGGGAGCTGATTTGTGAAAGGAGGTGGGGAAAGCAACATGGACCTGAACACTTGGGGCGTTAGTGTAACCGACTTTTTCTCCCTCTTCAGGGAATGGATTATTTGGGCTCTCGTCAGTATGTTCACCGGGATTTAGCAGCAAGAAATGTCCTTGTTGAAAGTGAGAACAGAGTGAAGATTGGGGACTTTGGCCTCACCAAAGTAATTGAAACCAATAAGGAGTACTACACGGTCAAAGACGATCTCGACAGTCCTGTGTTTTGGTAATGGGATACTACCACTCAGCTTCATTAAATAGTCTGTGTAATGTAGTCATTTAACCTGCTCCAGGAGACGAACGCTTTCTGGAACTGTTTTTCTGTTTCGATAAGTCATGTTTTCCAAAGTTAACTAAACCACACAACACAAATTCCATATTGCCATCTACCCCTCTTGTATTGAATGATTACCCTGTATATTTCTTTTTAATATCTTATTTGGCTTATATGGCAGAAGCTGGGAATGGGCGACGGGATGGATCACTTGATGATTGTCTGTTCTGTTCATTCCCTCTGAAGCACCTGGCATTGGCCCCTGCTGGAAGACAGGATACTGGGCTAGAAGGACCTTTGGTCTGACCCAGTGTGGCCGTTCTTATACTGATGTGCTGCATAAGGGTTTTGACCTGGATGGTATATTTTGGTTGCTAGTGTAGCAGCTCAAGCCTTGTGACAAGAGAGAGGAGCTCAGTGTGTATAATTCCTTTTATATACTCACATGTTCCTGTATTCCACACAAATGATACTGTAGACAACTTATTTTAAATGCATGCGGGTTAAGCCATCAATTTCACCTTTTACAACAGGAGTGGATGTATTGAGTGATTTGGGCAGCCCTTACTGAAATTTAACAGTGCCATGTTACGTCCGTAGGTATGCTCCGGAATGTCTGCTTCAGAGCAAGTTTTACATTGCTTCAGATGTCTGGTCATTTGGAGTGACGCTGTACGAACTACTGACGTACTGTGATGCAGAGTCTAGTCCAATGGCGGTGAGTGGTTGTGAAAGGAAATGTTACTTCAACATCAGCGACTGAATTGCAATTCAGCACTAATTCTGCTCATAAATATCTTTTGAAAAACAGCAACGTGAGCTTTGTTGAAAAAGACACAGCTGAATCATTACCTTACAGCTTACTCAAAATCAGTGAAGAGGTAGAATGAATTTCTCTAGCTTATGGAAACAAAAGGTCCGGAGTGCTCTTTTCAAACATGGACTCTTGCATCTGGATGCTCAAACCATCATTTTTGCTTAAGAACAAATTTGAGTATCTACACGCGGGTGTTCGGTGTCTCATTAAGGAAGCCATGTTTAAAAAATTGTGCTTCTTGTACTCTCATGATGGGATGGGAAAGAAATGAGAATACTGCATGCTATGGTATGAATACGGGTTTATAATTAGTCTTCATTTTGAGATTAAGTATTTCTCATGTCAAGTTTAACTGTTATGATTTCATTTGGCAAGAATTATAAATAAAGATCCACGTGGCTTTTCCTTGTTACAGGAGTTTTTGAAAATGATTGGCCCAACTCAAGGCCAGATGACAGTAACGCGGCTTGTACGTGTATTAGGAGAAGGAAAACGCTTGCCTCGGCCACCAAACTCCCCAGAAGAGGTATAAACTAGATTGTATACATTTGGCTATCAAGCAAACTTTTCTTCTCAAGTTTTCTGAAGCATTATGTTTAAAAAAATTTTCCTAATGAGATTCCCAAGTCTGACACCTCCACAGAAACAAAAATCTCTTTAAGGTCTGAGTCCCGTCTAATTCGTTATATAGTCCTTTGATTTCTGAAGTATAGAGCCGGTGCATGTGTACCACACTGAGGCTGTGTTCATAGAAGGTTAGGGTTAGAAGGGACCTCAGAAGGTCATCTAGTCCAACCCCCTGCTTGAAGCTGGACCAATCCCCAATTTTTGGCCCAGATCCCTAGATGGCCTCTTCAAGGATTGAACTCACAACCCTGGGTAGACACCCCATTCACCAGAGGACTCTACCACTTGTGCTAAGGGACAGCTCCTTTTCCTTTTAAGGCGCTGGTGATTAGTTCCTGAGCCAACTCCCACGGAAGTCGTTTGGATGCTTCCTATTGATTTTAGTGGGAGGTGGATCAGGCTTTTAGTCACTTGGTCCGAGGCACCTGTGATCCCATTCACTAAGCTGATGTTACACTCTAATACTTTACGGCTCACTCGTTATGTACAGCAAAGAGCCTGTAATGCTGTAAGTAAAGGTGGTGGTGTTGTTTCTCCCTATTCTCATAACTAATGGGCCTGACACTCTCTCTCACCCCAGATGGACCAATACCTTTGATTTAAAAATGTAATGGAAGCTCACTTTGGCTCAGATCATCAGCTAGTGTAAATCCACATGGCTCTGTTGCCTTTAGTGGAGCTATTCCAGTTCACAGCAGCTGAGGAGCTGGCCCTTTATTGAGAAAATTAACAGTCTACCAGTAATTCACCCTTTAAAATTTTTTTTTCTCGTTGCTAGGTGGACCAGCTGATGAGGAAATGTTGGATATACAATCCAGCTGACCGGACGACCTTTCAAAATCTTATTCAAGGATTTGAAGCACTTATAAATAAATTATAATTAGCATTTTTGTATGGTCAGTGCTTTAAATGTATGTCAGATATAAATACCCAGGTCCTTTTACTTTAACTACTATAGTCTGGCTATGCTAATACGTGTTTAAGGGTTTGCTTTTCCAGTGGTTTCCTTTTTTTGGGATCAAAATATTTAAATTCCCTAGCAGAAAATCTTTAAGCACTTTGCTCTTGTTAGAGTATTACTGATTAGAAAAGGTTCATTGATCAACCCATCCATCACTTAGATTATACTGAACGAACCCAAATTGGAAAGAACTGTGTCAAGAAAGGGAATTTATGATGGCCCCCAGTGCACGTCAACAGATGAAGCACATTAAACAAGTGTTCTGCAACTAGCATGATTTTCCTGAATAACTAACTCAGAAGATTGAGCAGAACTTTCCATGGCAATTTAAACTGCTTTTCAAATAGGAAATTAATTTTTAGGAAAGTGGTAAGGAGATTTTTAAAAAAAGTGGACTGGGCAAAAAAGGCCATCTTTAGCTGCATATATACATGTAAATATTCCAAAAAGACCATTTACCAACTTTTATGATTTTGCATTTCATTGCAGAAACCCAGTTTCTTACTACAGCTTTTTTTACTTTTACTAAAACAAAACAAAAAAACCCCTAAGCTAAGTACTTTACACCATTTTTATAGTTACAATTACAGTTATTCTGTGATATGTAGGAGAGCTGCAGCATGGGGACACAAGGAAGGGAAATTAAAAATCTTATTTTCTTAACAAACACCCCAAAATGTGTAGGTCAGGCCATTACTGTAATGAGCCACGGGAAGCACTCTCTCAACTGCATTCTCCATTGATGTGTAGGTTATCTTTGACGTACACGAATGAAGGACTGTAAAGTTTAAAGTTAGAGTAATATTTTTGCGGATTGATTGTGCCATCACAATGAGGATTTTCCTGGAAGCTATGTTTTTTTGGGCCAGATATTTTTCTGTCCTGCACTCCATTGCATTTATTAACACCTGTTTAAAAAAACATGAGGAACAAAAATTAAATGAGTATTAATATATTCTTATTGCATTAGAAACAGATTTTGGATCCCAATTTGGTATGCAGACTGCCAAATTATGCAATTATCATATATACAATTAACCAGACTGGGTCTGCTTGAGTTCTATGACCATAAACAGATTTTGAAGTTGAATCAAGGGTACTGAAGTCATATTATGTGAATTGGGCAAGCTTTTATTGATGGTAGATTATTCAAACTAGCAACCTTTTGCTGATCCTCTCCCTGGAATTTAGACAATATTGTCTCCCCCAAAGCTGGATTATTAAAATGCTTAGAGGGCACATTTATTTAGTGTCAGCAATAACTGAAAAATGTCTTTACACATTAAAGTATTACTGAACCCCAAACAGGTAGGATTCATTTTTACAGTATTATCTTTTATTTCTGTACTTTACTTATGAACCTGAGTAGAATCTATATGCACTTTGTTACTCTTTATACAAATTAATAAAGATTTTTTTTCTTCACTTGTGTGTGTTAATTATAAATTACACTGTGCAAAGCTTTACTTTTTTAGGGAAGATAAATTTGAAACTTTGCTATCGCACACTTGTGTAAAATGATACATTACAATGGCTTCCACTGAGTGAGAGTAGGCTGGAGATTTTGTCCTTTCACACAAATTCCACTGTAAATGGAGCAGTAATTTATTTTGTTGAAAAGGGTAACAGTTTTGAAAAGTTGCAGATACAATAGTTTAAACAAAATACTACCGGTGAATTTGACACCAATCAATACATATGAGAACGACTGGTTTTGTTAGATTATACATATCAAATACATTGCTATTCTGCTGTTTTAAGGTGGATGTGCAGAGCATCTACATAACAAAGCAACTGTGTTTTCTAAAACAGTCCTGACTGAGCTACTGTGAAAAACTTTGAGTTTATTCAAGACATTTAAAAAAAAAATCAGTAAACTTTAAACATGATAAACTTTAAAAGATAACCTGGGAATTCTATAAAGAGACTAAATTAAATTTACAGCCATTACATGGCTGGAGCACTACATACATCAATTACACGATTATTGCAGTTTAGTCAAAGATGGAAACATTGAGTTGCAAAGGGATTATAAGAAAGTTAATTCACATGGTCAGTTGCAAGTGTCTTATTCATAATTTAACTTATATAAATATTAGTAATGAAAACATGGATTTTTACCACTGCAGATACAAAAATGTTAAGGCGATTTGGTGATAGGACTTGGAGCTGGTAAATCAAATGTAAGATAAAGGAACAGTCAGAGGAAAAAAAAGCTTTGGAAGTTTCTGAATGGACCTCTCAGCCCAGTGCACAAGCCAGGGAGAAAGAAAAGCACTAGGCAAAGGCAAAAGACTATTCCAGTTCTGGCTGGCAGAGACTGAGTACAGTACTAGTTACTGTACTGCAAGAGAGGTAATTCCTTGGAGAAAATGACCCTCTATAAAAAAAAAGAAGGGGGGGGGGTAGCAGGAACGAGAAAGTGGGAAATGTTCATGGTGACAGAAGGAGTCTACAATGAAAAACTTTTGAAAGGAGGGGTTCAAAAGGGATGTGTGTGTATGTATATATATATACACACACACACACTAGGTGTAAATAATAAACCCAGGTGCCTCTGTGTTATATCATATACACCATACTCATAAATGCCAATGAGAGCTGAGTGAGTAGAGATTAGTCCGGTCTAAAGAGGACTATTTGATGCAAAAGAATACATAATAAAGGCCTACTCCTGCAGTCAATGGGAATCGGGGGCATTCAGACCTTTGGGCCCCAAATGACCAGTTGGGATAGCTGAAGCAAATTGTAAAAGTAAGTCTGACACCTGGAGCCAGAGTAGAGTGAAGGTTAAAAATAGGAAAGTGGGATTAACAGAACTAAACTAGGACAGGTGTAGTGGGATTGGACAGCATTTCCTCCTCTACTGTCTGAACAACCCAGAAATTAGTGAAAACAAAATTGGCAGTTAAATTTTTAGCTTCTTTTTCAGCAACTTTTATACTGATCTGCTTAAAAGTGGTTGAAATTATTTTAGTTGGTTTTACTGTTCCTGCACATTGAATTTTCATCACCTAGTGGAGGGTGGCTTTTGCATTTTAGTTTTTGGGAGACACTCTCACACCAGTTCAAATCCAATACTTAGCAAGACCTAGTATTTTACAGATTTCAGAAGCAGAGTAGGGCAGAAACAAATTCATTCACAAAGAGTAAAATTGCACATAAAAATGATAACCACCTCTTGAGAAAGAATATTAATAGCTAAGGATACACCTTTGTTCTAACTAGTGCCTATGTACTCTAGATTGATGCTGGTAGGCTCACAATATAACAAACTTTATTTTTAACAAAACATTTACTGTAAAGCTCATGGGCTCTATGTTAATACATCTGGTGTCTCTCCAATGTTTTGGAGTAAGTTTTTTAAAATGTAAAGGCTGTAGTGCAGAAGGCTCAACTCTGGAAAACATAAAACTGAAAAGCACACTTTTAAGAGTTTATAAAAAAATTATGATTTAAGACAATCTCACCTTCCTCATCTAAGGGAAAAGTCTCCCTTAACACTATTTTCATTGCTTTTGACTGACACATGATAGACAATCACCAAAGGAAACTTCTTTGCAGGTTTAAGACAATCATTGTCAATTCTGACAATTTACTGTAAGATCATGTATTAAGGGAGACACCATTGTATTATTTAACAAGGCAAATAATGAGCAAAAAATGTCCAACTAGTTGTCTTTATTGCTACATATAATTTATTTGGAAATTTTGCCTGAATTGTTCCTTTTAGGAATTTATCACCCTATATAAAGATGGATTGGTATGAAGTTAAGGCAGTAATAAATACAGAGGTACAAAAAGGTCATCTGTTGGCTTTAAGGCAGGATTGGTTGATTGGATCTCAGTAAACACGCTTTTTTTTAAGATAGCATTCTGCACCCTGAGTGTGCTGGCCATTATATTCAACTGGGCCAGCTTCTGGGGAAGAAATGAGGCGTGAAGAACTTCGCTTTTCACTTCTTACTGGTGCCACCTGTGCAAAAGAAGAAAGTGAGTGACAATCCAAACTAAGCGATCAGAGAAAACAGTATCATTTGTGTTTATAAAGTGTTCCAAGTTGAGGTGTTTTATAGTACGCACGAACGACATTAGCTATTTAGTCTAGAAGTTCTAATCATTGTTACTAAGTGCTAATATCCCAGTCTATCCTGATTTCTTTCATTATTTTATTTGTATGCACCTCTCTCAGGCTGTGGTCTCTTTGAAATTCAGCTCTGAAATGTGCTTTACAGATGCTGAAAAAAATGCAGTGCAGGGCTTGGGTGTGGAAATAATATTTCGGGCAACAGGTTACTCAATCATCTGATGCCAGGTTTCAGACAGGTTTCACTCTCTGGGTGCTCAGGTACACTGTGTATTTGTTTAGTCCATGCCCAAGGAATGGTCTCTGACTGCCTTCTGTGGAATGTGCCATTAATACAAGCTTTGGAGCAAGCTGTCTAACATCAGCTGCACCTAGCAGTTTTTCTCCTATAACTAGAAAAAAGGAGATTGAAAAGCAGCTGTTATCTCAAACACCTGAACGATTTCTTTCCTCTCTGGGCTCTGATAACTCTATCTGGATGGAACCTAATGAGAGAGTTTCCAGCCCTGTGTCTGGGAACTTGAAAGTGAAATTCGTTATTATGTGCACAACACACAGCAACATGCGTAGCCCTTGGCCATCTTTGTTACAAGGTACATCTCAGCCAGTTCTTGCCAAACAAGTGCTACCACCAGCATCTTGATTTGATTCTGCACAAAGCCAGGGCTACCCCGGGACTTTCCTAATCAAGCTATAAATAGAAAATTGGCTTGGTAGATGCCACAAGGTTCATGTTTGCCCTAGTTTACCAAACAATTTTGCAGTTGGCACAATACTCATTTATACCTTCAAAAGTCCTAATGATCTTTTAGCCACTTGGTGGCAGCAAGAGACCAACAAGGCATGCTACCACCTGCATCTAGATTTGGCCGTGTCTGAAATCACTCTTAGCTTCTCCTCTCACCTTATTTAATGGATTCTGTGGAGTAAGCTGAAAGCTGCCTGGCTGGTATGATCCCTGGGCTCCAGTGTAATATGAAGGCATAACCTGCAAATATGTATTGTAGTCTCCATAAGATCTAGCAGGTTCCTAAATGGAGAAGAGGATCCATGATAAACCAAAGGTCAAAACAAAAAACTCTTTATTTTTAAGTAATTACTCTTATTTGACTACAGTGACGATCAGTGGACAGATACGGAAATACCGGAGTCAAGCCAAGTTTCTAAAGGAAAGAATTTTCAATTCAGAAACAGCTCAGGCCTATAGCAATTTTCCTCTCTCATTGAGTCTGATGTAGGAACATTAAAAAAATCTTGAGGCACATAATCCTTTAAAAAAAAAAAAAAAAAGGGAAATTTGGTTTTGTATTTTTTAGGTTTTGCCTCCCATTTGCATTGCAGCACCCACTGGGGATCTATAACAATCTGAGAGCTAAATCGCTCTCGGATAATACCTTAGCGGGAAAAAACATGATAATCTCTTGTTCACTTATACTGTTTGAAAGCTACAATGTAGGGTAGTTTTTAATGCACTCCTGGTCTATTTTATAGCACATGGTGAAAACTTTAGGTTGTAGGAGCCTAGCTACAGGAAAACTTAGGGAATACCAACGATTGTGTGTTTGGGATCCACACGGTGACTCTGCAGCACTATTTTGCCCACATGATCTGGTCCTTTCTGTTTACAGTAGTGCTGAAGCACATAGTAGCATCCTCATGCTAAAGGAGAGAAGAAGTCAACGGAGATGTGAAGGAAAATCATTTTACTTTTACCTCCGAAGCTTCATTTTCAAATTCACCTACTCTTGCTTGAGTAGTGTTGTATGCCTGAGCATAATGCTGATACCACTGCTGGACAGCCTCCTATAAATGAGAAAAAACTTCTTCACTTCATCTGCCTGCTATGGTGATTTTACTTTATAGCAACTTCCCATGACCTTCACAGGGCACTAGATTTAATTAAAGACAAAAGCTCTCCAAGACACAAAAACAGATTTAAAACCAATCATAAAAATCCAACAAAACAGTTAAATATATGTTTTAAGTGATTATGTGATAGGTGTCCGATTGACCACACCAAAGTCTTCTACTCACCCAGAAGATATAGAACAATTATATGTCTGAACCTCATCTAGTATGGTATATGTTTGTGATGCCCAATTACACATTAAATAACTTGATTCATTGGTTTGGAATTCGTTTATCTTATAGTTCGTGAAAAAGACTTCATTCTGCACTTGTCCTCTAAATTGACACCAGGACCCGAGTGAGAATATCCTGTTTATTAATGACATAAAAAGTGATCAAAATGCTCTATAATTTACAGTACCATTGAGCCAAGTAACTCCACCATCTTCACAGAGCTATGGGATGTCTTTACAACAGGCCTTACTCCAAG